AATTGACACACTGCCCTGGCAGCAACAGGATTGAGGACCCACGCTGAGGGCTGGGCTATGGGTGCAGCTAGAAGAAGGAGGAAAGAGGAAAGGACCAATCAAGGCAGATTTGCTGAGAGAGCTGGGCAACAGCAATGGTCTTGCTAGAACAGAGCTGTGTGACCTTGGGTGTTGCACACAAACAGGGGATGTTGCTGCTTGACTGGAGCCTGTGTAATTTCACTGTGATGCTTATTTCTCCTTTCACAAGAAAGTGGCAACAGGGAGGCAGATGTGCCTTAGCACTTCAGTTACATACATGTGTTGAGTCCTTTGGATGAGAAAAGACAACCATGAGATGTGGAAAGGGGAACAGTGAACACAAAGGTAATTCTCTGGTTGGGATTTGACACTCTGCTTCCTGCTGTGGTATAGAGATCCTGTTTCAAAAGTAGAAAGACATTATTTTTGACTATTTAAGAGAATTTGCTATAATTAAGTTTATCCCCCTGCTGTGTTTTAAGCAACCATCCTTGTACATAAACTTTGTTGTAAATGCTAAGTGCACTGCAGTGTGTTGCATTGGTTGCACTTAATGATGAGAACCTTTTCTCATAGGAAATAGTGTATGCAGTCCAAAACTAAAAGCATTGCACTCATCCAGTTCCACTAGTGAGCAATGAAGAACTTTTTTGCAGAATCTTAACTTTCACAATCAAACATAAAAGTAGTCATTTCAAGCCAGTGAACATGGGTGATCCTATTTGCTTGTAGGAGGTTCCATGGAAGGAAGGGTATTACAAGTATTTTGTGACTAAATTACTTATTGCTTAGTCATTTGCTTAGTCAGCTAACCAACCAGGGCTAGCTTTGTAGAAGCTAGAAAGATGTTTCCAAACTTTTTTGGTGCAAGGTCTCCTTATTAGTTCTGTTCTATTCTGTATTGCTTTTATTTCATATCCTACATTCCCTCTAAAGTCATGTTTTCCTAGCTCCAGTAGCTAGGACTTAGTGCAAGAAGTTTATAATAACTCTGTGGATGAACCTGCCCTCCCAGCAAGGGGCTTGATGTGAATCACCAAATCTGCATCTCCCTGGGTTGTGTGTGCACAGCCCTGCATGGAGGGACTCGTCTTACTCAACTTCAGACACCTTTCTCCATGCTAACCATCCTGGTTGTTTCATAGTTCAGGAAAGTAACAGGACTTGCATGTACGCAGGCACTTGCCTCATCTGCATCTTCCCACAGATTCTTGTACGTCCCCATGCTGGTGCCACTCTATCTGCAGTTTACTGGGATACTGCAACTGTGTGCTCTCCCCTCCCTCCTTTCATTCTCCCAACTTCATCCTTCAGCCTGGCTTTGCACACAAGGCCTCACATAGGACAACAATGAGCAACAGTACTGATAACACTTGCTGAAACAGATTAACTGCCACAAATCTGTCTCAAACTGGGGGGCTGAAAATCTGATAGTAGACACCTGGTTCAGCACATGCCTAAAAACAAAGAATGAATATGAGTCAGTCACCTTACTTTGTAAATAGAGAGGAGCCCAAGAGCCCCTTGAGGTGTGCTACACAGCAGCTAGCTGCACAACAGGACTTCCTCTTGAGCAGGGTCACCTCTTGAGGTTACACCTGTGCACAGATCTCTTACACCTTGACGTCAGGGTGCCTTGTCAATACAGATCCTCAGTAAGTGACTAATTGTTTTAAGCTTTGTTAGCTTTGCTAAGATTATATCTTAGATTTATGGTAAGCTTTTTTAGCTTCACTAAGACAATGTCTTAGATTGTTTATGCACATATGATCTTAGATGTAATCTGTTGACCAAGTCTGGGACTGGGAGTGGGTCCAGCCGCATCTAGCCTCTTCACTTTCATGGTTCAGGGAGTTTAGAATGCAAGTGGGTCCACTCTAAATCTCATTACTCAATGGGAGAGTCTTTTGTATGTATGTGTTTAATCCTACCCGTTATGCAGTATATCATCAAGTGTATCCAGCCATCTCAAATCTTTTCCTATAATTGTTAAATCACTATGTTGTATCTATATTATATCAATAAATATATTTCTGCTTCTCTCTTATGAGTGAAGTGTATAATATAGTCATTTCTACCCATGACAGACACCCGTCTCCTAAGCAGTGCAGGAAGCTCCTTGGTCACTGAAGCGTAGTCAAGGGCAGCTCAGGTTTGCATCTCAGGACATTACTGTAAGTTGATCCATTGTACTTCCTGGAAAAGGCTCAGAGTTTCAGGGAGAAATGTAGCACAAGAGAGATGACCCTGTCAGGAGTCAGGACACAGATGGGCCAGGCTCTCCTTCTGGGTACAGAAGACTTGGGGTCAAGATCGAAGATTTCCGCTGAGTCTCCTATGCTTCCAAGCTTTTCCTTGATTAGTTGATTGTCTTCTCCTGCCTCCTTGACATAAGCTGAGACAGCCTTTACTGACATGAGCAGCTGGCCAGTTTGATGGACAATAGGAGATAGACCAAACACAGAAACTTAACGGGAATTCATACGACAGGTTTTGGTTCTTCTTTACTCACACATCCTGAATAAGTTGAACAGGTGAATGCCTGGCCTTCTTTATTCCTAAAAGCAATTCATACAATTGATTAGGCTGTTACAAGTTTATGATATTACTGGTTCAGTGTGCATCTTTGCTAACTGAATTATTCCTGTTTCTAAAAATCTCAGCTTTGTCATTTATAGCTAATCTTATATATACACGTGTATGGATACATATGACATACTCAGACATTTGCATGCACATGGATACCTCCTACAGTCATTGTTACCTTCCAAGACCGGGACATCCTGGGCTGGGGCACTTCATATGGAATCTATTTTAGTACATACTTTGTGCTATTTCATAAACTTCTAGAATCCATATTAGCATATTAACCTTTTTTTTTTTTTGGCTAGAGTCTGACAATGGTAAAGTCTTCATTCCTAATAGGTCTCCTCTGTTGCCCAGGCTTTGGGCTACTTGGGACTTATGTCCTGCATTATTTCACAAACACCTGCAGTCTGTTGGTACTCTTAAAGTGCATTTTTGACTGCAGAATTTACTAGAATGGAAAAATGATTTTCCACTCAGTTTTTTTTTGTGAAAATGACTTGTTGTTCTTACTGATAATCTTGTTGTTGTTTTCTTCTTACCCTGTTTACTTAACACTCCTGTGAGCAGTTTCATGTGCTAGCCTAGATGACACAGGAATTGTAGTGCACTTGTTGCACTGTGTTGTTACACCAGTTTATATGACCAAGGAGATGAATTGATTATTGAGCACTTAGGTCTAATTTGAAAAGAATGTTATGGCAGGGCTGAGGAGTCATTGAACAGATACTGGGCTGAAATTAAGGGATGGAAGACTTTCCTGATTCATGATCTCGTAAACGTCTACTGGGAAGGCAAGGTTAACCCAGAGGAATACTGTGTCGTGTGTTGTGAGGGACAGTGTGTGGCTGATTCATGGAATGGAGAAGAGGCAATGGAAAATATCAGAATACACAAATGGAGATGGCTGCTTCAAGAACTGTACTGTATCCATAGAGAAATGCAAAGAAAAATGTTCCTTTGTGAAATGAGTTAAAAAATCCAATGCTTCTTTTCTTAGAGCTTTGCAATAGTGTATCCTCACTGGTACTGCCTGCTGGACATTGTCAATATATATGGTACAGTGTGAATTTGTATATATGCAATGAACTGCAACCATATAGTGAATAAGAGATGAGCAGGTCTATAAAACAGGCTGGCCTCTGCTGCTCATTCTGTGCTGGGAATGGTTAGAGTTGAGGGCAAAAGTGTCCAGGGTGTTTGACCAGGGAAAGAGCTCTCATTTAGAGCTTGTAGGAATAAATATGACCTCATGCCAAGATCAGTGGGGCTGGAAATGCACCCCCGTGGTTAAAAATATGGGAAGGTCTGGCAATACCATGAATATCTGAGGATTTTGATACCTTAAGATTTATTTACCCAGCAGCTCATAACTTCATTGATGATGTTTAGACATGATTGTCTTCTCTCTGTAATGCAGTCCCCATCTGAAGATGCCTAAGAATACCAATGTTCTGCACAAGAAACAGAGAACAGAACTGATTTTTGTTATGCTGCTTCCTGCTTGGAATCCAGGAGATTTGGGTTATCACTGTGCACGCAATAGCAAGCCCCTCTTTATGGGACCTTTCTGCAGCTGGTCTGCAAAGTTCATTGCCTTGGGGAGCTATTAAATTAAATAGGAGAAGTGGGGAGAGGTGGCTAGAGTGGCTTGATGGAGCATTAGCACAGTTTGCTGTTTGTTAAGATAAGGGTGGCTGGGCTTAAATATATCTGATTATCTCCATTCAATCTCCATAACACAAGATGACTGCAGTTGTACCTTAGCCAAAATACACAGCAGTTTACATGCAGAACAAGTGAAACCACCTAGAGACAGCTCTTCTCTAAAGATGAGCACAAAGTTCTTCAAACAAGGCCAACCCACACAGAAAATGAAAGCAGCTGTAGATCAATAAGGAAGCAAATTTCAAGGCTGGACAAGGAGAGCAGGGAAATGCCTTGCCTCACTGATACCCTCCCTTGCATCCTTACCTACTGAGGAAATTCTTGTATCATCTGTTACTGCTTCACTCTGAGAAAGACTGCTTTGCAGTTTGTTTTGAATGCCGGTCCTCTAATCAGCTGGAGAAAAGGAGTCATTTACATAAGCCAAGGGGTAAGAAACACTTGGGTGATACTGCTCACCTAGGACGGACTGCTGGCTGACTCCTGGCGTCCAGCTTCCGCTTTTGCTTATCCAGTTTCCTTAGGGCTGTAGTGACGCAGACAAGTGGCAGTTTAGGAGGCTTTTCTCTTCTTATTCATCTTTCTTTTTCAAGGCAGTCGGTGAAGAAAACTGGAAGGCATGGCCCCCTCCACAGACAAAAAGCTCAACGGGCTGGATAACCCGAGCTTCATGGTGAGTTTGCTCTTCCCCAGAAAGTAATTCTTGCGTAAATCGGTGTGAGTCCTGCAAACTGAGGAGAAAGGGAAAGCCAGGGGATCAGACTGCCTGTGAGTAGGCTCGTCTGTGGTCTCTCAGCTTTTCTATCAACAGGAATCTGAGGAATTACTGCCTCACTAAAGTCTGCTGCTGCTACAGATTCAGTGCAGTTTCTGCTCTCTGATGCCCTTTCACTTCTTTTCTCTCCTTTACCTCTAAAATGATAGAGTAGATGAATGGCAGTGCAGGTGTATCTGTGTTGAAAAGGTGGTGATTTGGTAGATCCTTGTGCTGATGTCTGTGTTTAGAAGCATTTATGTATTAGTAAAATTACAAGAGAAATTTAGCCCACTGAAGAATGTTTCTTTGTCTTGTGGATCTATTTCTGTTGAAGTAAACTGGAAGAGAGGTGAGTGAAAAAGGGATTTGGGGGTCAGTGGGTGTTACAGCAGGGCAGTAAAATCTGTAAAGATGTGTGGATTCAGCAGTGTGCAGCAGTGTACTGGGGATACTGGGAGCTGTAACAGTGCCACAGGGAAAGGACATGGGTCACAACAGCCCCATTCCTATCTCATGCAGTTAAATTCCAGTGGAGTTAACCTCCGTTAGAAATGAGAAAACCTGTTTGTGTTCTGACAGTGGGAGTAGAAAGATGGGATTCTAATATGTTGGCATAGACCCCCCCCAAATAGGGGACTATGGAGGAGTCATTTAATCTTCTGATGCCCAATGTCTCCCATTTCTCAGAGTGAGCTTGCTGGCAACAGTGGAGGTGGAGTGCTATGTGTGCCAGCTGTAGGGAAAGCCTCAGCGAGGCGCTCAGAGCAATGAAGAGGCTTTCTTTCACTGTTTTTAATGGTCTCAATTTTTACCTGTTCTGCTGCTGGCAAGTCTGATGAATTGTAACTTCCTACAGTTTGAATCACCATTTTCTTCTACCTGTCCAACAGTTCACTTTCTGATTGCCCTCCTGGTGCACTTAATTTAAGATACAACACAGGGAGGGCATCCTGTTCCCCTGGGCTCATGAGAGCAGCTGGGCTGAGAACCACTGGCAGCAGCTCTGGCAGCTCCTGTGAGAGCCTGTCCCTATTCCAATCTGCTGCTGCTTTGTCCTCCTTCCAGCACCTCAGCATCACAGGATGGCTGACATGGGAAGGGACCTCTGGGTCATCTGCTCCAATCCCTGCTCCAGCAGGGACACCTACCTCAGGCTGCCCAGGATCATGTCCAGATGCCTTTTGAGGAACTCCAAGGATTAGACTCCACAACCAATCTGGGCAACCTGTGCCACTGGGTCAGTGGTCATCCACACAGTAAAGGAATGTTTCCTGATGTTCAGGTGGAGCCTTCTGTGTTTCAGCTTGTGTCCATCACCTCTTGCTCAGTCAGAATTTGTCTCTTGACCTGCCTCATCCTGTTCTCTCAGCTTCATGCTTCTCTTGCTGAACCATGCTCATTCTCCTTCAGCTCCTGGGGAGGGTCAGGCACTCATGTGATGGTCATAGGGGGCTGTGACTGACACAGACTCTGCATGGCTGGAATATATCCCCTGGTTAACACAGGAAAAGTTGTGGTGTAAGGAAAGGAGCTTACTGCTGTCTGCCTAGCTTAGGCTTCCTTTATCCATGTTGTTATTCAGGAGTAGCTGTCCCCATATAACTCCCTGCATGAGCAGTCTTAAATATCTCACTGCTTATTTGTTAATCCACAGATCATGCTCCCTTGTTCTGAAATGAAAATGCTTTCATGGGGAGGTGTTTAGGAATGCCTTTTGCTCGTGAAGTTCATGCCTGAGCTCACTTGGAATTAACTCTGCCCTCTCCTATCTGTTTTGAAGGAGCTGTGATTTTCCCTACCTGCCTAGTCTGGGTAAATATATGGTGTTTTGGAACATATCAAAACACTTTGACAGTGTGATCATAAATGGGACTCAGCCACAAGGCTGGAGATTTCAAGAAATTATGCAGTTCTTTGGGACAAATTAGCCACACCTGCAAATTTATAACTGAATATAACATTGATTTTACATCCTTGTTCCCTGTTTGCAGCATTAGCTCCAGTGTAGGTAGGCCATGAGTGTTGTAGCACACACCTTGCTTTCAGCATCCTTCTGTTCTGTCAGAACTTGGAAGATTAAAGAAAATGGAAGTTTGGTAGTGGTAAACTGGTTGAGCATCTTTTGACAGCAGATTTCTCTACCACATGTGTGTGCTTGGGGTCCCCAAGCTGGAGACGAGACCTCAGCTCACCCTGCTTTTGCCAGCTGGCTCCTTTGAGATGGTTCACCAGGATCTCATGCTCTTTGGTTTCCCCCAATTCCTTTTTTTAGAGAGGTTTTAGAGAGGTGTCCTGTGTAAGACCCAGTGCAGGTGTGTTTATTGAGGTGAAACACTTGTAAGGATGTGTGAGAATATCAAGAAGATTTAAGAGAAGGAAACAAAATGCAGAAAAGTCTTCTAGTCAAATTGATCAAATTGTTTTAGGGCATTTTGTCAAAAGATCTCTTTGGATGGGACAGAGAACAGGGACCAGTGCAGCATTCAAGCATTAACCTGATGCACACTCCTTCCTGCTTCTGCTTACAGTTTTTTCATCCTTAATGGGACACTAATGATGCTAGCACACTTTATCAAAATGCCTCTTTGAGGCTGAAACACCCTCCAAAGTTTCCCTGTCTAGACACACGTGCAAAGAAGCATATAAACAATTTCTTAAAGCATTGCACTTCTTTTGTAATCTTGACTTTGTTGAAAATTACATCTGAAGTTCTTCCACAAGACATGGAGCACTGCCTCAAGACAGGCAGCTGCAGGGCTGAGCTATGGCTGACGAATGGTTTTTCTCATTGTTCAGAGTGAAGATGGGAGCCACCACTGTGCCTCACTGGATCGTGCTGCCCAGGGCCCAAAGGAAGGCAAGAGCAAGGGGCAGAGCAACAGGCTGGCCTACACTGTCACTGACATACCCCCCTGGTACCTGTGCATCTTGCTGGGTATTCAGGTATGAGAGGGCTGCAGGCAGTGGGTGGGGATGGATGGAATTTTACCAGGTGTTCAGCCAGTTAATGGGGACAAAATCTGTATTTGGGAGTGCTTTTGGTTCTGATGCCTCTGGAGCTGTGGGCTTAGTGTCCTTAGGGTCTTCCCACCACTGCCTGAGCACTGATTGTTATCCTCCTGCCTGCAGCAACACCCTCCCCCTTGATGTGCAAATAGTAAGGCAGAGACCTAGGGCTAGAGCCAATCAGTTAATAACAACAGGTCAGATACTTCTGCTGAAATCAGCAACATGTCTGTAGGCTTCTAAACTTCTGCCCTTCCACTGCAATAATGGCTAAGCAGAGGCAGCATGAGAAGGGTCCACACTGCTTTGGCTGATGTCCATGCCCACACATGTTAAATAACCCAATGCAACCCAAAGTTAATGGGTACAGAGCCTCAGGGAACAGAGCCCTCAGAACGACTAAGGAAGCAACGCGCTGTTCTTGGAGCTTGGTGGACACCTTGTACTTTGTTTCCTTAAATGATAACCTTAAATTTAGAATGTATAACAAGGTTTTGTGAACGTACGTACATTGTAAATTTAATAAAACATACCTTTAACAAGCACGGTGAGTTTCCAAGTGCCACCAATTCCACCATTGCTATCCTGTACTATGAGTGAGAATTAGGAAGTCAAACCAGCTGAAACAACCTTATCTCATCAATTGCTCACCAAATTATCTTCATATTTAGTAATTAACCAAAGGTCATTATTAAAGTATGCCTGTGACTCTTTTGAAAAATACAAGATGCTTGATCTTTTCATTCTTTGGCATTCATTTATATGGCTGTTTATAACTGCACTGTGTGAGAGAAGTTGTTGGCAGCAAAGAATAGGTAACTCCAACTTACAAATATTTTATGTTATTCACTGAGGTGCCAGTGAAATGGATTGAAACGTTTGTACTCTGCTTACTTAATGTGATCATTCTGTTACCTTTCCCTATGATGTCCCTTCCTTCCTGGTAGACTACTCCCAACAGTTTCGTTTGCAGGGCAGGGGATAAAGCTGTTCTGTCTGACAGTGATCTGGGGAGTCCAGAGCACTACAAAAGGTCTTTGGGCATGGAAGGTGGGAGAATTTTGTGGGGGTGCACTGCAGATCTTGTAAGTACTTCCCCTAACAGAATGTTTAATGTATCAAAAAAGAGAATGAGTATACTACTATGATTCAAATGCAAACATATTAGTTTCTTGTAGGTTTCCCCCAGTAATGCAGTATTGCCAGTTCTGCGTCCTTCACCCTGTCTTTCTCTGTGGCTCTTAGCATTTCCTAACAGCCATGGGAGGTCTGGTAGCCATCCCACTGATCCTCTCCAAAGAGCTCTGTCTTCAGCATGACCTCCTCACCCAGAGCCACTTGATAAGCACCATCTTCTTTGTCTCAGGAATTTGCACCCTGCTTCAAGTCCTCTTTGGAGTCAGGTAGGTCAACTGCAAGAAATGGGACATGCAAGAAAATTTATAGATGCAATTTCTATTTGCTCAGCAGCCAGCTTGCCGTAAAGTTTATCTAGTATTGAGGGTCATTTGTTACCCTTAGGCAATCAGTACACATGCCAAAGCATACTGCAGTCACTGTACACGACAGGTTTGCAGGGCTGCCTCACTGTTTGGCTTTTGCATTTCCTGGTACTTGATACATCTTTTGTTGGGCTCATAAGGAATCTGTCATGCAAAAGGTAAAGCATTAAAAAAGATGCAGTATACAGTATCTGCCTTCTCCTTACCGGAGACCCTATGGCTGTGGCAGGTCCTTTTCGATCTGGCCCTGGCCCTGGGTGCACAGAGATGTTCAGAAAAGAGTTCAGGGGGGTAACTGGGAGAAATTGCAGTTCATCCACCACCTTCAGAGACTCAGGAGAAAGTTAAATACTTCGTAAGAGACGCATCCTCAGTGCCCCAAAGAGCCTGGGTCCTTGTTGGCCTTGCAAAATTTCTTCTATTCCCTTTGTCATAACTCTGGACTGCCTCTCTCTTTCCATTATTTTTCCTCTGTTATGGCAGGAACAGAATAACACAGAACCTCAGAATTGCAAGGGTTGGAATGGACATCTGGAGCTCATCCAGTCCAACTACCCCTGCTAAAGAGGGTTCCCTACAGTAAATCACATGGGCAGGCATCCAGGGGGGGTCTTGTGCATATCTAGAGAAGGAGACTCCACAGCCTATCTGGGCAACCTGTTCCGTTGCTCTTTCACTCTCCAAGTAAAAAAAATTTTCCTCATATTTGTATGGAACTTCCTAAGTTCTAGTTTGTGCCCATTGCTCCTTGTTCTGCTGCTGCACACCACTAAAAACACCAGGCTCCATCCACTTGACTCCTGCCCAGTAGATATTTATAAGCATTGATAAGCATTGACAAGAACTGGTGTTTCTTGCTTCAAAAGCAAAAATCACACATTGATTGACTTTCAAATCTGAATAACCTGGTTAAAACTCTTCTACTGGCAAATCACAATACTTTTTACACCTCCTGGGCATTTTCCTAGTGTAACTTTTCCATCATTGTCTGTAATAAGTAATGGTGGTAGACAAACCCCTCCCTGGAGGTAACTCCATTGGTGCAGGATTAATGGAGAAAGGGGCCTGGAGGTAGCCTGCAATGCATGCCAGGCCACTATGGCCACCAAAGAGAGGTTCTTCTGAGTTCAATTAAATTCAGGCTAGGGCACACAGCTATGGTGTGGGCTGTTCGGGTGATTCAGATCCCCCAGGTCCCCTCAGGCTGCCCCCAAAAGGACTTGGTGATAAAAGTGTGGCAGAGAATGACACATTAATGTCTCATTAATGTCTCTTGTGGCTCAGTAACTGAATGAGGAACAGCAGATCAAATTAAGCAGTGAGGAGCTGATCCTATAGGATAAGCTTAAATGGCATTTTCTGCACTAAGGATGCAATTGCCTTATTGCTGGCCCCAATTATAAGGCATGAGGACATTCCCTGTCAGAAAGCTGGACTCAGCCTGGAGCAGAGCTGAAGGAAGTGATGGCAAGCAAACCTAGCCGGGGGAACCAGAAGCAGATCTCTTTTTCTCTTTTTATTGCTTTCTCAAAGCCTTCAGTAGTTGATAATCACAAGTCACCAGCAAGTCTTTGGGGAAAACAATAAATATGAGGCTGATGGGATGTTTTTTTCCTGGAAAACATCAGTGCTACGTCCAATGCCCTGAGGAGCCCTCAGCTAGGTGCTCTGCACAGTTCTTGATGTCTGTATTTTAGAAAGACTGATTCAGAGGAGGAGAGGTGAGGGGAGGGATAATGATAATGTGTTTATGTGGTATGGTAATGGGAGGCAGCTCATCTTGTGGAGGTAATGTAAGTGAGATTGGCTGTTCTAGGCCAAGTGGTGGATGAATGGGTCTGGCTGCAGTCTGCAATTAGTTTGAGAGAGCAGAGATGGGATTAGGCAGGGAAAAAGCACTTCAGCTAAAATACAGTGCTGGCACATGAACAAAGAGGTGGGAACTGGCAGTAGGAATGGGGAGGTTCCTTCTAAGAGTGAGTACAATCTGGGAGCAGCCCTCCAGAAGCAGTAAATGGTGGAAAACCTCAACCCACTGTAACCTGCAGCTCAGTCATGTGACAGAGCATGAAAAAGGAATGATGGGTCCCAGATGGTCATTAGAGACTATCCAAGAAGCTCCTGAGGACATACAGGTAAGTGACCTCATTTGCCATTGTGGTGATGCTTAGGCATCATGCAGTGATGATCAGAGCATAACATCTCCTCTAAATCTTGTAAACATTGCCAGAAAAAAACAAACAACCCATGATCCCCATATGCTTCACATCAACACTCCTGCTTGATGTTAAGCCAATACCAGCTGGGAAACCAGCTCAGGACCAGCACACCAGGAGCTATAAAGCTGTTGTTAATTCAACAGTGGTGGCACTAAGTCTTCTGTGTCCCTTCCTTCCTTCCTTCCTTCCTTCCTTCCTTCCTTCCTTCCTTCCTTCCTTTTTGCCTTTTTGCCTTTTTTGCCTAGCAGAATCCTTTGAAGGCTGCAACATGTTTGGATGAATATATTAAATAAGTGACTCCACGGATGACTGATGTTCAAATATAACTTGCTGGCTAGTTCTAACAGTGCCTCGGTTGTACGTGGCATGAGTAATTGCAGTGATATAAATACTTGTTGTAAGTGGTGGAGATGTGGTGCTGTAACAGCTTTGCCATCCTTCATTTTCCTGTGCTTTCTGATGAACGGTGGAAACGCTTCAGCTTCAGGGAAACTGCAGAAGCATTTACATGGATCATTGCCCTGCTGCTTTTCTAAGCAGGTGCCACTGGGGTTTTTGGTGCAAGGAGAGGTTGCTTTGGGAGCTGCTCCTGGGGAGATTTCTGAGCAGATAAAGCCAAAGCACTTTGGAGACTTCCCCTGGCTTTTTCAGAGCTTGTTGCTGTGTCCATGTAGGTTTCCTTTCCAGTGTCAGTGGAGAAAGAGCAGAGGAATTAGCTCTAAAAAAAACTGATCTCCTAAGATATAAATCACAATTTCTAGCTCCTAGTCTGAAGATAGTTATGGCATGGAGGATAGCCAGTATGTGATTGTGTTTATAAGCAGGTTGTGAAGAAAAGTGAGGCAGATCAAGGGGACAGAGGAAAGAAATGGATATTGGTGAGATTTGGGCACAGGTCAGTGCTAAACTTTTCTTCAGTCTCAGCATCTTTCTTCCTTTCCCTTCTCTCCTCCTCCAGCTTTTTCTTTTGGCTGCCTTTTTACCATATGTGGCTCTATGACCCAGTCACAACTTAGAAGGACACATATATCCTTAAACCAGAATAGCAGTCTGGTTCCATACTGAACGTAACTCTCTCTGTTGTGGTCATTGCTCTTTGAGTACTACTGGCAACAATTCCCAAGCGTTGTCAGTGATGGTGACCTGCCAGAACAGACCAAAAGACAATGCCAGAGACCACGACCAGACTGTGGTGGGTTTTTTGTTTGTTTGTTTGTGGGCTTTTTGTTTGTTTTGTTTTGTTTGTAATTTATTTTGCTTTCCTTCCTCTCACCTAAATGGAGCTGAGATTCTAGCATTCTTGTCAGCTTTTCCCTCTGTCCTCCTTCTAGGCTGCCTATTATTCAAGGAGGAACTTTTTCCTTCTTGACCCCCACCCTGGCCATGCTGTCTCTCCCCAAGTGGAAGTGCCCTGCCTGGACGGAGAATGCCACGCTGGTGAACGCTTCTTCACCTGAGTTCATTGAAGTCTGGCAGACACGGATTCGAGAGGTACATCACATCTTCAGTGGCACCTGTTCTGTATCAGGGCTGTTTGCTTTCAGGAAAGCACCTTATCTTCCATCTCCAATGGCCCTTAGCCTCTGCCTAGTTTCAGCTTCCTGGGCACCTAAGCTCTGGTGCTGTGCTACCATTGAACAGGAGACAAAGAATCCTTGGTTGATTACGGCCCCCGCAAAGTCTCCACTGGGTGAAACAGACCTGTTATCCATAGCCCTGTGTTCCTCATGCCTTTGGAGCCAGCATGAGGGAAAATGCTCAGTACTGCAGGTTTATCACCAAATCTGCAAAGACAGCAGCTTCACCCCTGAGCCTCCTGGCTGGAAGTGATGAGAACAGCTAATGGCATTTCAGGACACAGTCACTGGCTACTTAAACAGTGATTGTCAAACACAGAAAAGTTCAGAGTGATGACCATGTCCCCAGAGGTAAACTGATACTCAGGAAAAAAACAGAAGCTGTCATGACATCCTGTCCTACCAGTGTGGTGAAACACCCCAAGTGCTTCCCAGGTAGGAGGTGAGTGGAGGCCATGGCTCTATTCCCATTTTCAGAGCAAGAGCTTTTCCCCTGCATTTTGGGGGAGCAGAAAGATTGGGTGCAGGGAAGCTGAAGTGTGCTTGGGTGTCACAGATGGCAGGCACAAGGGAATTAAACAAGCCCTGGTAAACAACTAAATCCCTCAGCCAAGGTGGGAATTGGTGTGCTGGTACTTTGGTGGTCCTTCCCCCCAAGTAATGCTCAGCAGAGCCCTGCTGTGGTCAGTGGCAGGCCTCCATACCTGTCCATCTTTGGAGGAGTGCCTGGCTCTCACACTGGCTTGGTACTGACTTCCTCAAGAAAAATCTTAAGAAAAAAACTTAATAGTTAGAGGTCCATTCACTGTCTGATCTCTTCCTCCGTTTTTCCAGGTGCAAGGAGCTATCATTGTGGCTTCTTGCTTTCAAATCTTTGTTGGATTTTCTGGCCTTGTTGGATTTCTGATGAGATTCATTGGCCCCCTGACAATAGCCCCCACCATCACCTTGGTTGCTCTGCCTCTCTTTGACTCGGCTGGGGATAAAGCTGGACAGCACTGGGGCATAGCATTCATGTAAGTATCTCTTCCCTGGAACTCAAGATTTATTTGTGGAGTGCTGACACGCAGAAGGCTTGTGCAAGACACCAGCATGACACGGTTACCTTTCGAGAAGCTTTTAGCCCTCAGCTACACCAGCAACAAATCAAATACAAAAGCGAATTTTAAAAATACTGATTTTGTGAAAACTCATAGGTCTGAGCTCAGTAGAGAAACAAGTCTTCCCTATGTGTCATTGCTGAGGGCAATTTCTGTTATAGTTGTTTATGCGCAGTATCCTACACATCCATTATTTAAGTTAAAAAGGCATTTCTAAAATAACAAAGTTAAGCACTCAGAGTTCTGTATTCCTCAAATTATAATAGCTGCTGCTTCATGTCTTGTTTTCAAGCCACGAGGAGGAATTGTTTTCTCCCCAGAGGACCTGGGGGAGCTCTGGGCATGTGTACATTGTGTGCATGTGCCTTTGCAGCACTGAGAGCATTCTTACAGGGAAATTTGTGTGTACCTCTGTGTATGAGTGTACAAGTGTTCCTGGTGGCAGAATTTCTTCGATATTTTTAGAATCATAGAATGGTTTGGGTTGAAAGGGATCTTTAAGATCATCTAGTTCCAACCCCCTGCCATAGGCAGGGACACCTCCCTTTAGAGCAGGTTGCTCAAAGCCCCATCCAGCCTGGCCTTGAATGCTTCCAGGGAGGGGGCATCCACAGCCTCACTGGGCAACCTGTTCCAGTGCATCACCACCCTCATAGTAAAGAATTTCTTCCTAATATCTTCTCTAAAGCTAAATTTAAATCTAATTTCAGAATTTAAATCTAATTTAAATTTAAATTTCAGAAACATTCTCAAAAAATAGAGCTACCACTGCACAGTTCCCCTGCAGATAAGCAGTTTCAGATCCGCAGTGCAGGTTTAAGATTGGGATAGCATACAACAGCAGCAGGTTGTTTTCCTCTATGACTTCCAACAGTTTGCTAGTGCTTTCAGTGTTGTCTTTGGAAACTCAGAGGTCCAGAGGTCAGCCTTGAATGCAGCCTTGGAAGGCAGTGTGCTGTCATGGGGATATTATCAGGACCCAGGTAGGCCTTCTGCTCCCAGCTCCACTTCTCCTGTCACTGCTAGTTCTGTTCTGCCTGCCAACACCTGCACTCCCAGGCTCCAAATGCCACATTTCTTCTCCACCTGCAGTTCTCCACCCAGTTGATCTCTTCCACAAGCACTCCATAAGATCCCAAACCCTGCTTGTCCCCCTGCTCCTCAATTTCCCCTTCACCCTTATTTCTTCCACTACATCTGTGGTTTGTCCTGTTCTCTAGCTCTAGTGATTTGTCCCAGCCCCTTTGCTTGGCCGATCTGAATTCTCTTTTCAAAATCTATTTCCTCATCAGGACTGTCTCATTTTTCCACTTCCCCTCTCCAGTCCCTAGCTCCTAACCTCTGTTTCTCTCATGACCACTTTGCCCAGCAGTGCTGCTCCATTACCAGGGTTTTCCTGCCTGTATCCAGCCCCTGCCTGCAACCCTGGCTATCCTTTCTGTTCTTCTCTTTTCCACCTGTGCTAATCCCCATCCCAGGGAGAGACAGGTGATGGAGAAGGTAGAAGACATGGGTCCTGTGATCTAAGCCCTGCTGTCCAGCCCTACCACATCCTAGAGCCTCCATAATGGGTGAATCCCAATGTTGCCTTGAGAAACTTGTTTGGTGTGTGCTCCCTTGCTCCTTGGTAATGGTACATACTACAGTTCATCACTTAACAGTATTCCAGAAAAAAAAAAAAAAAAAAAAGCTCAAAATCTTTATGGCCTGCACGTGCTAAAATCAGAGATGTTTATGCTCAATACCTGGGACCTGAGATGAATGATCATTGCCACAGACTTATCATACTTGAGCAGAGTTTTGTGAGAAAGAGCAATATGCCTCTCCCCAACAAACAAATTCTACTAAATCTCACATGGGCAGATCTTACTACTGCTCAAGGCAAAATGACCTTCTCGACTATGTCTATTTCTTGAACATCACTCTTTGAAATAGGTTTAGGATATATTTCTCCAGAAATATTTGGCCTGGGGCAGATGTTTTCCATGGAAATTTTCATTCTAAATGGAAAAAAGTTAGGCAAAATTTCAGCAGCAGATGAAAATAGTATCTATTAATGGAATGTGTCAGGCAACCTGAATAATAAGCAGTGACACCTACCCAAGATAGATGAGTGTTCTGCAGTGATTCATCAGGCTGCTGAGCTCCTTTGTTAATGCAAATGCACAAAATGTGCACTGAAGCCATTGGTCTATGCTCTGTAGCTTTAGAAACCAAGAATGGAAGCTGGTTCCTCCTCAGACATTCTGCATCCAGTCATTCAGTGCTCTGAATAGCAATTGATAACCTCTGGCTGCATATTGCAATGTGTCTGTGCAGCCCTGCGCTGCTGTTGGTAAGAGTGCAGTCCCACACAAGGGGTGGGAGAGGAGCTGCACCTCGTGGCCACTGGAGCAAGCCCTGGAGGCTTGGGGCAAACAAAGGCACTGCTACTTTTGGTGCTGAGAGACTTTTTCGGAGTCTGTCTGGAGTCCTTCAAATGAAAGGAAATCAGGTAGCCAGGCCTCCAGTTCACATGGAGACAGGTGGGCATCTGGGCAAACACTTTGTCTCATGGTCTGTTTTCCCCTCCTCCCAGGACTGTTTTTTTCATAGTTCTGTTCTCTCAGTACCTGAAGAATGTCCCTGTGCCACTGCCATCGTATCAGAGAGGCAAGAAGTGCCACTTCTCCCCCATCTACATCTTCCAGATCTTCCCGGTATGTTAGTGCTCCTGGTGATCTGGGCAGCATGGCAGAGGGACCAGCTTCACCCAGTCCAGGCTATCTGGGCTGTTTCCACTCACTTCAAGTGGACTTAGCACTTCCCAACCCAGGCTACACTGCAAGGGGCAGTGGGGAGAATGGGAGAAGAGACCCATGGCGTCTGTTTGTGGGGCAGAAAGGAGGGCTACCAGGATACTTGCTGTCACTCTCCCTCCATCCCATGTGCATGCTCACGTGTGCACAGGGAAAAGGTTGGGTAGGAGAAGGCCTTGTCCCAGACCTGTCTGTCATTGCTGGAGATGCGGCTCTGCCGTAACCAGATTGTCGTTGCCGAATGTGACGGGCAGGTGCTGCTGGGGCTGTCCCTGAGCTGGCTGCTCTGCTACGTGTTGACGGTGACTGACGTCCTCCCCACGGACCCCACTGCTTACGGCCACCTGGCACGGACAGACACCCACGGGGACGTCTTATCTCAGGCTCCCTGGTTTCGGCTCCCTTACCCAGGTACTGCCACAAAGCTGCACAACCCTTTCCCCTATCCCTTGCTGCTTTACCCTGCCCACCTCACAGCCACCACAGGGAAGCAAAGTGCCAAAAATCAGGCAAACACGCACAAGCACCCTGCTGTTCTTCCCTCTCAGTAGATTTTGGGGTAAATGTGCCTCACTGACCTGAATCAAGCTCTTTATTTGCAGGACAGTGGGGAACGCCAACAGTCAGCTTGGCTGGGATATTCGGCATCCTGGCCGGGGTGATCTCCTCCATGCTGGAGTCCATGGGGGATTACTATGCCTGTGCCCGCCTGTCTGGTGCCCCACCACCACCGAAGCATGCCATCAACCGTGGGATCGGTGTGGAAGGCATTGGCTGCCTCCTGGCTGGAGCCTGGGGAACAGGAAACGGCACCACGTCCTACAGTGAGAACGTGGGGGCCCTGGGCATCACCAAGGTGAGCTTCACACGGCAGGGTGACTGCAGTGCCCTGCCCTCCTGTGCATCTCCTGAGTGTGGTTACAAGTGCGTTGTGTACATTGGTATGGGAAGCTTCTTTAGCCCAACTCTGCATGTGGGAGGGGTACGGGCTGTGGTTACTCATGGCTCCTGGCTTAGGCTCCTGTAAAGAGAATATGTTACACTGAGCTATTCTGGAAACTTCTTGAGGATTGAGTTTATCTGATACTATCCATCTATCTACCTATCTACCTGTCTATCCTCCTAAATAAATGGAAGGAGAGTAAAGGAGCCTTATTAGGGATTCAAGTTCCACAATTTTCATAACCCAAGGATGGCAATCGTGTGAAAGGTAGACCATTTCTTTGAGATTATGAAATCTGATGGCAAATGTCCATGTTTTTACCTCTCTTTAAAGTTGTGTGAATTCCCTGAGTATCTTATTGCTCTTATGAGGGTAAGAAATTTCCAAAGAGAGATAAACTTGACCATCAGATCATAGATTTTTCACTAGGCTTTATTGCTAGGGGATGAGTACATCCAGCAGCCAACTTGAAAAATATTTCTAAATCATTGTCAAATAAGCTGTGAGTCTACCTAAAAGCAGATGTTGATTTACAGCTCCTGAACAATAATATTAGTTATTTTGCTGGATTTTATAGACCTCAAAATAACCATTTTTCACAGCGTTTGATGGAAGTGGTTGTATCTAACTGCATGAGGCTCAGTTTAGCCTGTCACCCTCAGCCTGTTCTCTCATGATGTAGTTTGCTGACATGACCATAGTGCAGAAGTGCTCAAACCCATAATTGTCAGTTTATAGACGTGCCTTGTCCCCATGTACTCCAGGTCCTTGCACAGACATGCCATCTGTGCTGATTCAGGGGACAGTTCACTTAGATCCCACCTCTGCTCACCTTGTTCAGACTTCAGTGCCCAGAAGACAGTCTCATAGAATCACAGAATGGCTTGGGTCAGAAGGGACCTCAAGGATCTCCTAGTTCCAAGCCCCCTGGCATGCGGAGGGCTGTCACCCACCAGCTCAGGCTGCCCAGGAACCCATTAAGCCTGGCCTTGAGCAACTCCAGAGATGGGGCATCCACAGCTTTCCGGGCAACTGGGCCAATGCCTCACCACACCCTGAGTGAAGAATTTCTATCTCAGTCATTCTGACTGGGATAGTTGGGGTTGCTGTGATCACAAGGCAGATTTCTGTTTGTTTGTTTGTTTGTTTTTACATGGGAAACATATGTTTTGACAATAAAGGGAAGTGCCAGGGACTTGTTTCCTCTGCTTAAACACAGGTCTCAGAAACTGCCAAGATCCAATATCTTAAATGGCATCAGGCACCTATGTTTGAGATACTGGATCAAACCCAGCGTGCCAGCACTGGGCTCCCATTTCCAAGAAAAAGAGAATTTCAAAGAGGGATAAAGACTTTGGGAAACTGCAGCTTCTTCAGCTTTACGAGCAAAAACCAGTTTTCTTGTTTCCCTGACATAATTGAAACAAACTCTAAATTAGAAGCTTTAGAAGCAGATGCTCCCAGTTGTGGTATCAGTGGATTAGTTACTTTGCCTTTGAGGCCAACTCCATTTATTGGATAATTTGACATACGACAATTTCAGCAAATTAAGAATCTGAAGCTTCATTCTAATCTTGGAACAAACAGATCTTGTGGCTTTTATTAAATTATTGCTTTGATGATAATGCTGTCCCAAGGTTTTAAGCCAAAGAATATAAAGTGCACCTGAAGGCAGTGCATGATTTTATTTTGAAACTCTCCACCAAATCTTACTCATTTCTTTCACAATCAAGTAAAACTTAGATTTCATAAAAATGTGCCTTCAAAGTATTTTAAGTAATATTTGAAAAGGGACAGTACCAGTTACTGGCAGTGTTTTGGCTGAAAGCATTTGCAAAAAAACCCTTGCAGAAAAAAAATGGCATTCTTCAGATACTTCAGTGAAAGGATTAAAATAATTAATTGAATTATAAATTGTTTGCAGAGGATTACAGAACTTCTCTGCCTAAGACACAAATGCTGTAAATCTTAGTGTGATTCTTTAAGCTGTCCAAGTTTTGGTGTGGCAAAGCGTATCTTGAATTGAAAGTCTAACAAATATGCTGCTTTTGTGTTTAATTTCTGTAATCTGTAAATGTCTCCTTCGTCCCTTTGTTTGTCAGATACTCTTTTCCTTTCCTATTCACACACTCTAACAGCTCTGAATGAAGCTTGCTGCTTCATCCCATCATTGTTGTAGTGTGGGACTAAGAATGGCTCCCTGGCTCTTCCTGGGGAAGAATGAGAGAAAGGTGGGTTGACTGAAGCTGGTGTGTGATGGCAGGTAAGGGCAGAACAAGAGACTTCCCCAGTTCTCATTAACCTGGTGTTGGTTGTGTAAAGAATATAACAGATGCAAGAGCTCAGGATGGAAGCAGCCAGGCTGGCCAGCTCTGCTCTGCTACATCTTGGTCCACAGAGAGAGGATTGCTTGGTGCAGGACACCTAGCTGAAGGCCATTTTGAGGTAGAAACTAACCTCTGGTGGAAGTGTTGTCCAGTGAATTATCTGGGAGTAGGGTGTGGGTATGCCACAATGTTCCTACACTGCAGTGAAAGCAGAGCTGTATGTGGGGATTAGTGTGCTCTTAATGTGCTTTTTGTTTCACAGTGAACTGTTAAGTCATGATAGCAATGGGGCAGAGGATAGCAAAGCAAATAGGTGTGGATCTATCATTGTTCTCAGGGTGCTTATTACGATAAATATTTCCTAGTGTACAGCTGCAGGGACTTTCCACACAGTGTGAGCTTCCCATCTGAACCCAAAGGCTGGAACCGAACGTGCCACCGAGTGCTTTGGTTGCAAGCCTTGCCTGACAGGTCTGTGCTCACTGGTGCATCACTGCCTGCTCTTCCTCCCACCCAGGTAGGGAGTCGCATGGTGATCATTGCTGGTGCCTGTGCCATGCTCCTGAGCGGCGTCTTTGGGAAAGCGGGGGCAATGCTTGCCAGCATACCCACTCCTGTCATCGGAGGCCTGTTCCTCGTGATGTTTGGCATTATCACCGCAGTGGGGATTTCCAATTTGCAGGTAACAGCTGTGTGAGCACCTTTCCATTCCTAGGGAAGGTTACTTTGGTTTCAAGCCAGATTCTCACCAGCCTGAGATAGACGTAAGCAGGGCTGCAGCAAATGTCAACATTTGTACTGGCAGTTCCTCGGGTGAAGATGAGGGCACTTATGCAGAGATGAAATCACAAAGAGAGGTTCCAGGTTGAGACAGGGCTTGCAGGCACTGGTTAATGCCCCAGCAGTTCCAGGGCTGCTCATCCCCATCTCACAGTTTATCTGAAGGAAGCTGTTATAAGCAAGGGAGGAATTTCTGTAGCTGCTCTCCTATGGATGGTTTTTCTCTATGTCCTATAGTTATGTGCATTTAGAGGAGTGCTCTTTGAGTAGAGGTCTCAAACTGGGTAAGAGTCTCAGTAAGAGGTTTAATTTCCAGTTCCGCCAGAGGCTGTGGCTGAATCACACCTTTTCCTGGTGTCTAAGCTGGAGATCACAGAGTGGTTGGCCATCTGATTATCTGCCATATACAGTTTCTAGTGTATGCCATACATGTTTGAAATCATCTGCTAATTTTGGTTAAGCAGAACTTTGTTCTAACACCTGTCATTGGGTTTGTGTGTGTACGTCTGAGCATGGCTCACTAATGAATTAATCCATGGATTTTGGTCATTCCAAGCTGTCAGTACTAACATACACAATTTCTCTGTGCAGTACACGGATATGAACTCCTCCAGAAACATCTTTATATTTGGATTCTCTGTGTTTGCTGGACTCGCAGTTCCCAACTGGGCAAACAAAAATCATACGCTGCTAGAAACAGGTAAGAAGTGACAGCACATTTTAGAAGAGCTTTCTGTAGCATAGAACTTAAGCAAAGGCTGATCCAAAGCAACCTTTTTTTTCCAAACAAAATCCTGAAAGCTGTCCTCTGACTGTTGTCCGTTGCTTTCTGGGAGTGCTGCTCTTGTCCTCTGCTCCGGTGCCTCCCTTGCATTGCCAAATCTTAGGCTCTGTTTTGGGATTTGCACGTCTTGTCTAAACAAGCATGCATCTTGCAGCCTTTTGGCACTGAATATGCTGCTGGTTGAATATGTGTCTTTGTTTTTCCTCTAGAAATCATCCAGCTGGACCAGGTGATCCAGGTGCTTCTCACCACTGGCATGTTTGTGGGTGGGCTCTTGGGGTTTATCCTCGATAACACCATTCCAGGTAGGATTTTGCTGAAATGAGCTAAGCTACAAGTCTGTGTCTGCCCTGGGGTTTGTCACTCGGTATTTTTTGTCCTTATTACCATTGCTCTATGGGTAAAAGCTGTAATAGCAACCATGAAATTCTATGTCACTGAACTCCTGGAGAAGAATGGGGAACAGGAGAGACATCAATGGAATAGCTGCTGCTTCCAAAACAGTAACTCATTAAAACAAAACAAAACAAAAAAACGTTTTTCAACAATCTAGCTTGAGGAGAAGTCAATTCAGTAAAAAATGTCTTTTATATAAAATGCTAGCCTGGGTCATGTTGTTGGCAGAAAGGAGAGAGAAAGGCAACTGCAGGAGGGAGGGCATGGTAAGAAATATTTCTTCTCTGCTTATAGATGCAGGTTGGATATTAGGAGAAATTTCTTCTCAGAAATAGAGGTGCAGCAGTGGCACAGGCTGCCCAGGGAGGTGGTGCAGACACCGTCCCTGGAGGTGTTCCAGAACCGTGTGGATGTGGCACTGAGGGACGTGGTCAGTGGGCATGGTGGGGATGGGCTGATGGTTGGACTAGGTGATCTTAGAGGTCTTTTGCACCCTTAATGATTCTCTGATTTCTGATAGACAATATGTTGATGTGTGCCTGCTTATGAAAGCTAATGAAATTGAAGTCGAATTGCTCCACATCAGTGGAAAGCAGCAGGAAGGGCTGATGACCAAAGATGTGATATAGGACCAGTGGCTGCCCCTCACAGCCATCAAAGACCCTCTAATTTTCATCAAGCCTAGGGAGGGATGGCCTAACAATAGGAGAGGAAGTTCTACAGAAAGAGAGCAGGAAGGGCACTCTGTTAAGCAGACTCTTTTATTATCTCAGACTTTTTGAAAAGCCAATATCCTTTTGGCTCATTAATTTTATTGTACCCTTGATCTTCAGCTCCTCCAGGCAGAATTTATGTGCTCACTCTCTTTCCCAAGAGGGACTCAGCCATTGCAACAATTACAGACATTTAGCAATTGCTAGCTAAAGTTAATTCTCTTACCTCATGATATTCGAGCAGTTAACACCCAGCTTTGCTTTTCTAGCACTTTACAATGCCTCTTGAATAGTTCTTCCATCCCCCATGGCTTCTGAAAACCTGTTTAAGTATCTTTGATTCCCATGAGAAGCAGTGGAGGAGACTGAAAGGCACTGCAGGAAGATGGGTACTGTCTAGCAGCACAGTCGCTAGTTTTTGTAAAGAGTTTTGAAGCTAGAAGGGTTTCAGTGCAGGGTATCTCTATGTTGTAGTGGATCTGCTGCGATTTGAGAGCCAAATGTGGAGCGCCCAAGGCAGTCATATGTTCAGAACACCCACCTGAGTGTTTGAAATACAACAATTTCCTTTTTGCTTTCACAGGAACACAGGAGGAGCGGGGTCTCCTGGCATGGAAGCACAGCCACAAGGGAGAGGTGGACAACTCCCAGCTCATTTCCAAGGTCTATGATCTTCCATTTGGCATAGGCACAAAATACTGTGCTGTCTCTTGGTTTCGGTATCTCCCTGCTTGCCCCCAAAAACTACCTAGTGGCAAGAAAATGGATGAACTGAAGGCTGCTGGACAAGAAAGCAGTGTTAAAGCAAGCTTAGAAAGAGACTCTGAGATAGGTGCTGATACAAGGATATAAGCACCAGGCCTGAAGATAAACTCTTCTCTCAAGCAAAGGTATGAAAAGCATGTCTGCAGCCCCCATCATTTGAACTGGAGCAAGAGAATGACAATGCCTTTCTTTTCTTAACTGTCTCCAGTGCCACTGGTGACCTTGAGGGAATCATTTTTCTTCTCCCTGCTCCTGCCTGCCCACCTCTAGGAAGGACGCAGTACTGCTTTGGGAAATGCCTAGGAAGGATGTTCAGTTTCCTTCCTTGCACTGAGCCTTGGGAACCCTGAGGAACAGTTTTTAGGCTGAAGCAGAACTCTTCCTTTCCCCTGTTCTGACTGCCCTTGGGGCCACAGGAGAAGGCATCTCTACCATGCTTATGCATCCTTTGGGCTGAGGTTTATCCCCTCCACCTTAATCATCTGTAATGGCAAGGTTCACCTCTCAGCTTGTGGTTTACACCTTTTCCTGGCCAAAGGAAAGAAGTGGGCACCTGTAGGCCATGACTCCTCTCTCTCCTGTGATGCTTTAAAGTCAAATGAATGATGTTGGAAAAGCAGCATCTAAGGTTAATGGGATGAATTGTCTTCTGAAGTTGCCTCTCCTTACCTACACTGCAGAGAGATCTACAGACTCCACTTAGGTTACTGATCTGTTAGAAACAACCAGCTTTACTGAAAGAAATTCAGCTGGGATGCTGGGAGCCAGCTTCCCCAGGGTACCAAATTGCACAGAGATGAAGGAATGTTTATCAGAGATGAAGGACAAAACTTCTGCTTGTAGTGTGACATACCTCTGCTACTGCTAAATTCTGTGTGTCCCCACTGTCCTTGACTTGGCTTGGTGATTGTGTAGTGACAGCCACTTCTCTAGAAAACAGCTTGCAGACTCTTGCTGTTTTCTACTCTCAGCACAAACAGCCTTAACCTGTTAATAATGTGACTGCACGTGGTGTTGGCTGCTGCTGACATGTAATAATATTGCTATAGCATTAAGCTGTAATTTCCTGCACTGAGATTTATACTTAAATATATTTTTTGGGAAAAATAAATAACACATGCAACTGAATGATATTTCTTGGGTTGATTTCCATAGTGAGTGGCAGGTTGTATTCAAAGAATCACAGAGAATTCAGGTTAGAAAGGACCTCTGGAAGTCATGTGGGCCAACCCTTCCTCTCAGACCAGGCGGCACATGGCAGTGCCTAATCAAACTATGGCTGGAGAGCCACAGCTGCTTTGGGCAACCAGTTCTGGTGTTTGACAACCTTTGTGGTGAGAAATAGCTTACCTCACATCTAACTGGAATTTCCAGTGCATCAACTTGTGTCTGTGGCCTCAACACTGTTCCCCTCTCAGAAAAGCCTGTCCCAATCTTCTCTGTACTCTGAACTGTACAGCTGAAAGCTGTGATATGGTTTCTTCTTAACCCTTTTGTCTCCGCAAAATCTGTGTGGTTTCAATGAAAACCCTTCGTTCCTCATGCCTATTGCAATATGGGTATGTCCCAGATTTAGTGGTAAGTTGCTTGTTTTTACTGTTAAGGGGCATATTTTGCCCAAGGATGTGGTGGAGTCACCATCCCTGGGGGTATTTGAGAAATGTGTGGATATGGCACTGAAGGACATGGTTTAGTGGTGGACTTGGTAGTACTAGGTGATGGCTGGCGTTGATCTTATGGATCTTTTCCTTAACTATGCCTGATTCCTGCCCAGTTGGGATGTTACAGAGGTCCTGGGCATCTCAGCTCTGACAGTGCCTTAATTCTCCACAATGTCACCCACACCTTAAGCTCATTTACTGATAGCCTATATCCCCAGGAGAACTAGCAGATAAGCCCTGGTCTTACACATCACTCTCAGACTTACTTGTGTCATAGCATATGTGAGAAAGCGTAAGTTAATCTGCATCACCCTGTCCCCGTGTCCTGTCAGCCTGCTGCTGGCCAGATCCAGCATATGCTGCAGGAATGGTTTAATGGCAACAGGATGGCAGCTGATGAATGAGACACAGTGACCACATCTTGCACTTCCACTCTGCTGCCATGTCTGCACCCTCCTCCCCCAGCTCCCTGGGGCACAGCATGAGTAGGGCTCGTCCTTCATTGCAGCACAGCGAAGCCCAGGCGGCACAGACTGCATGCTGTGTCTGGTGCTGCTGAGGCTCGAGGCATTTCTCAGAAGCTATTTCTGTCCCCATTTCAAGCTCAGGCTATTAACTGCCCTTTGAAATTTCTCCTTTGGTGTGTTTGTTATATGCCTGTTTGTTTTTTTAACTCAGAGGGACGTGTCTAAATTCTAAAATGAAGTAGGCAGGGTGAGGCTGCAGGATTACCACTCCCCACTGGCTGCATACGGCCACTCGAGTTTTGGAAACAGCTTTGACTTTGCACCACAGGATGCAGCTTCTGCTTATTTGCTCCTTGATAAGTGAAAGACCAAGGGATCCTCAGGTGCAAAACTGAACACCTGAAGGCTTTTCTGGACTGCCTGGGAACAGCAAGCTGCCTGCCACCCGTGTAACCCTTTGCTCCTGTTTATTCCTCAAAGCGTGCTGAAGTCAGGCAGTGTGGGGTGATCCTGCTTGCAGCTTACAGAGGTGCACATAGTGAACTGCCAAAGTGCAGGCAGAAAGTCCTCCTGTTCAAGCTGGAGAGAGTTGGTGAGGGATACATGCTTGTACCTAGTGACACTGGCTCTGGACCAGCTCATTTTCATAGCTTTCTAACAAGATGTGAACTGGGCTTGGGTTGGAAGGGGCTTCAACAATCATCCAGTTCTGACTCCCTTGCTGTGGGCAGGGCTGTCAACTGCTGGATCAGACTGTGTGTTAGAAGCTGCTGTGCTACAGCACAGCTGTAATGCACCTGTTCTCATTCTGTCCAGTTCAGCCAGGCCTGCCTCCACAAAGGCCTCACTTCCACGGCTGCTTTCAGGTTTGCCATTGCTTCCTCCATGCTGCCTTTCTGCCTCAAGCTCCTTCTCCTTCCCACTGCTCTGCCCCAGCAGCCTGCTGGCCTTTTCCAGGCTTTTTCATAAGAAGTTTCAAGACCAACCACTGAGCACTGAACAATGTGGTGCCAGTGCACACACAGCAATACTATGCTCAGGAATTAAGGCTGCTTCCCTGCCAAGGCAGAGCAGCCTTTGCACACCGGGGCACCTCAGTCTCTGGCTGGGTGGCGCTGGCTCTGCTCGAGAAGGCTGCCTTCCCACGTCACACAGGCTTGCATCCTGCAAACTGGTCATGCCACAGGAGGAACCAACATAATGTGTTCCTCATCCTCTTCATAATGACATAAATGCCTCCCACAATGCTTGCTACCTTTTGGAATAGTTATTTCTTACCTTCACACTACCTGAACACACCTGTTGATCATGTTTGTGTTCAAGCCTAAAATTCTCCTGGTGAAGCATCAAAAGCTCTCCCACGTGATGATCAAGGGAATGCATCTACATACCATGGTGACCACCTAGAACTGCCTCCTCTGGTACATGACAGGCTGAAAGTCGATTAAAAATGCAGTATTTCTGCTGCTTAATTCTGTCCTGGACTGGTCTTCAAAGCATGGGGATTGAGAGCTAATAAAAATAAGGTTGTTAATCCGTCAGTGTTATCTGCTCACATGGCTCTCCTACAGATTTGCCAAGTATGACCTCAACTGATGCAGTAACTGAGGTGGAAAAGTGAAAGGCTTGTTTTTGTAACAAAACTGACCAAATGTCATGTGGCAAATGGAACTGGAGATGGCAGCAAGCTGTAAGATCAGAAAGAGATACTTTAAGCTGTAAAAAGTAGATTCCACACTGAGAAAAACTAACACATTTTTCCACAGAACTACAGAATGGTAAGAAAGGGCACACAGGACATCTCATGCAAACATTTTCACATTTGTCTCTTGTATTCTTTCCTTTAGGAAAGAATGATTTGGCCTCAGATCCCCTGAAAAACTTGTACACGTTTCAAGTAGCACGTGTTCCAAAACCCAGGCCCTCCAGAGCAATATATGCATGGTACTTTAAAAGGAGAGGGGAAGTAGGAAGAAGGAGACCTCAATATAACCACTGCCAGAACACTGGCCGAGTCTGCAGAAAGCCGCTAATGACAGCTCAGAGATGTCAATGATCTGTTTTAACTTCAATGCATTTTTAATTTCAAGACACCATCTGAGCAGTACTACTCATCAAAGAACAGGATGCAGCAGAACAGCACAGGGGGCTTGGTTCTCTTTCAACTTTACACACTTTACAAAAATAATCCACAGTTTGTGATTGTATCTGCATCTCTCTGAGCGATTCGGGAGTGCGTGGCCACTACAGTTGTCCTCATAGATATGGAATGTCCTCACGTCAATCTCTGTGAAGAAATTCCTCTGTTGTTTCCAGCCCTGGCTAAAGAATTGTAGAGGAAAGCAATCACTGCCAGGATGCTGGGAGGCACGCTGTGAGCTTTGTAGTTAGCAGTCTGGAGTGCGTAGGTTGCCATGTGCTCTCTGCATCTCTTCCACAGCTCACATTAGGCAAGGTCACTGAATTGCTTCAGTGTATTTGTGAAATGAGGTTCAGCATTAAAAAGTCAGAGAGAAAAATATTTCTTCCTTTAGGTTTTATAAATATTTTAAACCCGGAACATTTAAAAGTATAAATTACTCAACTGGTAAGTTATGGAGCACTGATGAGGAAAGGGAAGTCAACAATAACAAACCACAACACATTGTCTCCCCATTCTGATTGGAGAGTGTTCCTCTGGAAGAGGCACAGTCTCTTCACATGCCTGCTGTATCCAGTGATGCTTGGCAAGACATTGGCATACAGGGATACTACTTATAAATCTTCGTCATCAAAGGTCTCCGTGCACCTCAGCATTACAGTCTCATAATCAAACTGAAGATCTTCTTCCTGAAACCATCCCAAAGCCAGGTAAGGTTAAAAACCACAAGAGTTGACTGTGTTCAAAGTGCCATGAGCCCTGCTTCTGCTCTGCATCAGCAACCAGCATCTCTCAGTCAACTGTTTGTGGTGCCTGATGAAGAATGTCTCAGATTCTCAACTAATCTAACATCACAGGCCTTCACCCTACCTCCATCTACATCATTTAGACCATGGTAGCAAGCACATCAAATAACAAGCTCTGAGGACGTGCGAGCTTCCTTGAGCTTCTAACTTACACTGTCTTCAGGCTTTGCTGCTCTTTTAGCAACAGAGGGAAGTGGTTTTCTTGACCATCTTACAGAGCATAAGTGGCTTTGAGCAATCAAAGTCCAGGATGCAAAAGCATTTGCATCTGTAGACTGTGAAACAGCAAATGTACACAATCCAACAACAGTGCTTTGTACAGTTAATCTCAAATGGCATTAACACGGAACTGGCATGTAATGACCACAAGAAAATCTGTTACCTCCCCAGCTCTGCAGATGGAAGGGACAGAAGCTGCCTTTCACACATCAGTCGGGCACGCACTGGTGGCCCTGCCTCTAAGTACAGTACCTGCTGCTTGCCTCCATATCATCATCTACCATGTGTGTGCACGGTGCATCAGGACACCACTTACCCTTTGGGATAATGATACCACCAGCACTGCCCAAACTCTTGGGCAAATGTACCTGTATCAATACTGCATCAAGAGAGTGGTCTGCAGGGATTTGGTTACACACACAAGTAAAATAGAAGGTCTCCTATTCAGGACAAGTCCAGGAGTCATCAGTGCACAGAGTAACCCACTGTCTGGGTTAAGTTGTGTAGCCTACGCTGAGCTCTGCTGTTGCCTGAGGTAGCGTTTCAAGCTAGCCGGAATATCTCCTAGACACACTCAGCTGAACTTCCATAACTGTCTCCAAACTATTTGCTCAGAAGTACAGCTGAATTTCCGCACTCAAAACCCAAAATCTGTCAGTCAAATTTTCTTGCCTCTTGGCAGGACTCTAGATGTGCTGTACCACAGTTATCTAAACCAAAACATATTATCAGTACAATTTAGTCTGGGTGAATTCTGCTCACACTCCCTTTTTATTGTCTTATCACAGACAATTCAAAGTTCCTGAATAAAAGAAGTGCTCAGCTTCCAATTTGCAGCATTTCACTACCACCAACACCACTGTATGTGAGAGCTGTAAGATGGGCTTGGGCTCGCACACAGTGATACAGCACCAAGCAGAGGGCAAAAGCAGCACTCAGCCATTCACAGCTGGAAAACATGCACCTTGCATTATGTCATTCTTTCTTTTCTAGGCATCTTCATTTCACAGTCATTTATATGAACACAGAAAGAGCCCTGGTTTTATGCAGAACAGTTATTTACAGACCAAATGGCTGTGTAAATCAGTGCTTGGTCTCTGACAATGACCAGGAGTAGATGTTTAAACAAAAAGTGCAAGCATTTTGCATGCAATGTGCTCTGTCTCCCTAATACATGCTCCCTCATTCTGGCACACTGTGCTGTGAGGGTGTTCTGCATATGAAATTATATCTGGATCTTTGTCCAGATTTATTAACCCTCAATGGACTCATCCCTGGGGAGTTAACTCTGGTAATCTGCAAATTCTTAATATACTGTTGGTTCATTTTATTGGGTGCTGTCTAGTTCTGCTGTTAAGAGGCAATGGATCATCATTCTGTGTACCAAATCCAAGTCATTTAGGATCCAAATTTTCTCATGTCACCCCCAAACATTTCTGCTGAAGAGTCCTACTCTAATAGCTCCTGTTTAATAGCTTTTGCTATGCCTGCTGTCATTCCCAGCACCTCCTTTAGTGCTAAGGTCTCCAGGAGATTGTAGGAACCAAGTGACGTGCAGAAATCGTTTTGGGATAGATTTAGACAGTGGTGCAACACTGGTTTCTGGTTCTTTGTGGTGTTGTTTTGGGTTTTGTTTGGTTGGTGTCTCAACCATCCCTCACCACAAATATTCCATTTTCTTTAAAGGACGATCTGCTCAAGTAACAGACCGGGTGGAAGCGAGGTGACAGCAGAACATAGAGAAACAGTGGCCATTGCAGAGGCACAATCTGAGCCAAAATAAACATCTTCTTGCTTAGTGATCTCTCCTTTTCGGTCCTGTATCCATGTGCAAGTTCGCAGACACCCTCTTGGCAAGAGGACAAGAACAGGAGGACTAACACTGCAAACACAATGATTTCTGGCTCAGCGAATCTGCACCAGTTAGGCTGATGTTAAGACACAGCACAGCAGCTGCTCTCTTTTAAGAGCTGTTCTCTTTCAAGAGCATAATTACTCTACTCTCAAGGCTTGCCAAACAAAGGCTCAGGGTAGGGAAGCTGGCACCAAGATAAAGCACAGGGTAGTCCCACTGTGTTCAGAATCAAGAGGCCAAGGGTGGGTTATGGACCTGCAGAATGACATCTAAAGCAATAAGCCCCAAGGTCTTGTTTTAATGATTCTGGATGCCATGATCTGAAGCAAGGGAAAACTCTTTCTGACAGTGACAGAAATACGCTGCTCCTTCTGTAAGGAACCCTTTGGAAAGCTTACCTGGCAGAAGTGTGTATTAGCAAAGAAAAGGCTTTTTAGGAAGTCAGTGATCTGCAGATAAAGTCTGTGGTCATCCTCTGGATTTTCAGAAATGCCGCTTGTAAATGAAGAACTGAAAATGGAACAAGAAATTATATTTAATTTCCTCTTCCCTGTTTTCCTCCTCCTCCTTACTTTCTCTCCTTCACATTTTACTTACAAATTATAGAATACTTAAGTTGTTTCCATGACAAATCTGACAAGAAAGACAATAGGTGAAAAAGACAGGAAGGAGTGGAGGTGTAATGAGGAAATGCTGTCTAACAAGTGCAGAAAGATATCTAAGAACTGAGAACTCCAGTATAAGGAACCACTACCACAACAGAGATCCACTAATACACTACAGCTGTGATAGCACTGTTCTAGGGAAAGGTACACACGCATCATAATGGAGAGCAAAAATGGCCATTTGGCATTGTATTTTGTAGGGTTGTTCCAAGAAGCAATTTCGCCTTCTTTTGTAAAGTTTTTGGTCACAAAATCACACATCAGCTGTTTACTGGCAAATTTGTACTCAGGTGATTGGCAACTTTGGTACTAAGGTCAGATACTCACTCTGGACCTCACCTCTATGCTCTCCCTGGGACCTTACAAAGTTCTGCACCACACCTCTGTCCTGAACTATAAAGCACAGGGTGATAGAAAAAAAGAAGAGCACATGGAAAACGCTGACTACTGAAATATTAATCTAATTTGGGGCTTAAACCAGACTGCAAAGATGATGCCAATACATTTGCAGTGTTAACAAAGTTTGCTTTTCCTTGTTTCAAAAACAAACAGCAGCTATGACCTAATAAATGGAATTTAATAGATACATGTTTTGTTAAGCTTTACAATACAAACATATTCTGACGAACAGCCAGAGCAATCTTATTTCTGTTCATGCTGTTCTGTAAGTGCAGTGTGGAATTACAGTGAAGAAGATTCACATTAAAGAACTCTCTAAATATGGAAAAATAAGCAGCTGGATTTAAAAAAATAAAATTAAAACACTATTTGGAAAGAGAAAAAAAATAATCTAAGCAAGACTAAGCAGGAAGAATATGTAAGAGATGAATCAGAAAGTGATTTTCTTCTTGAAGAGAAACCTTTTCTTTCTTTAGTCTACTGGAAAAATCAAAAGCAGTGCTAGTTTGACATGTTCTTTCTTAGATAATTGTGATCTGACCTGCAGAGAATCATAGAATCACAGAATGGCCTGGGTTGAAAGGCACCACAATGATCATCTGGTTTCAACCCCCTGCTATGTGCAGGGTCTCCAACCATCAGACCAGGCTGCCCAGAGCCACATCCAGCCTGGCCTTGAATGCCTCCAGGGATGGGGCATCCACAACCTCCTTGAGCAACCTCTTCCAGTGCATCATCACCCTCTATGTGAAAAACTTCTTCCTCATATATAACCTAAACTTCCCCTGTCTTAGTTCAAAACCATTCCCCCTCGTGTTTCTTTGATCTTTCTGCTCAAGCCAACCACACTTCAGCTTGATCATCTCTTACTGACGAAATTAGGGTACTTGAAGAAGATTAAGAGAGATGATGTTAAAGAAAAAAAAAGAGATTATTTTTGTCTCATTAAGTGAGAGTATAGTTAATTGTCCAGGAAGTGCCTTATGGTCATCACAGACCTTGTAAGTGAGAGAGAGAAAAAAGGAGAACATTAGAAATCTTGTAATTTGAAAAGACAGAAAGCTATGCAAAGTAGAGAAAAAAATTGGAAGAGTTTATCTATTTATCCAGAATCCAGGACTCTTCCTACACTTTCCATGAAGAATCACTAACTAGGAGTGCCTGGTTATCTCACAGCTACTGGGCACTCCTGTAAGCTAATCTCCCTGGTTCTGTTGTAAATGACTATTCCTCATGTCATTCATCCACCTTAAAAGGTAATACTACAGTGAGCACAACTGCTGTATGCTACTATTTTATCCACTGACTAAAAGTTAGGCACAAAAGAGAATGCTCAGCTACTGACTTTCTCTACAGCAAACTTGTTGGGGAGCACTGACTGTCAGCTATTGAGTTACTCTATCTAGCAAAAGGGTAGGATGCTAAAATTTACCTCTGGCTGGACAATCCCTGTGTCTCATTTGTTTCAAGGAAACCAGCAGCAACATCAAACGCGTCTTCAAACATTACCTGTCACAGAAAACATTTTGGATGTCAGCATATCCAGCCATTTAAAGAGTTTTACCTAGGGCATCGTTTTTAATAATGAAATCATAAAAAGTACAATATTTTTTTCTTTCCATTTAACAGCTAATGTTTCCTTCTGCAGAAATCTACAGGGTTTTGCAAATAAAGGAATAAGAGGGAGAAACTTTCGTAACTCCAAACACAAGATTAGTCTGTTCCCTGTTTTTCAGCCTCCAAGAATTAGACTTACATCTCCCAGACCATCAGTAAATACATGAATTTAACAGTGCTTTCCAGACTTGACTTTGGCCGTTGTGTTGTTTATGGCTGGAGATCTCAGCTGTACCAGCCATTCTCCACAAATCCGATTCCTGTATATGACTCGTCTTACAAAGGAGTTCGGATTCTCCATGTGACAGACCACTAATCTCATTAGTTCATGCTCTTCACATATCTTCTGTGCCAGAAAGTACTGTACATGCAACGTCCCCACGACATTTCCTAAGCAGGTCAGTGGACTGAATTGCTAATTGTCCTGTGACTCAAAAAGGAGCTTGTAAATGCAATTTAAAATCTGCTAAAAGTGAACCTGTGACCTTCCCTCGCAACTAATAACATTGTACACTTCTCTGAACAGCCAGTTGCTTAAGTAATCAATGCTTCATCAGGAACAATTTATGGAGAGTTGGCTGTTATTTAATCTCTTTTTTCAGATGCTCCCATCTACGCAATCACTGAATTCTTGGCTCTGCAGAAATGCACGGAATAGGCAGTCATCAGCCCTGTATCGCTGGAACTGGTCTCTACAAATACTTTATCTTTGCTACTAAGTGCTCTGATTACTAAAAACAAACAAACAAACAAACAAAAACAAGTAAAAATCAAAACCCAACGAATTAAAAAACAAGCGACCAGGCAAAAACACACAGGTTTTAGGAATCTGAGCATCTCTTCTGGATATAGATAATCTGTGCTGCATGGAAGACTTGCAGAAGACAGCAGTTGGACAACCCTTGTTCTTGCTCCCCACCCCACAGCAAGTTAGAGCTAATTTAATTGTTACTTAGCACAGGAATCCACAGCTCAACAGAGAAATGCCAGGATTGCTGCCACGGCGCTCCTACAGCTTGCTGTCTATCTTACCGAGAGAGAATTCAAGACATTTACTCACAGGCTGTTTGTTGTTTCCACTTTTCCATTCGAGTGGTCTTGGGAAAACTTAATTAAAACTACTGTATGTTCTCTAATTAGAAGCTGCAGAGCCAGTTAGCAACTGGAGGACTGGAGCTTTAGGGGCAGAGGATATGTGTTATTGAGCACTTACTTCCTCTGGCGTGGAGACCAAGGAGCCACTGGCTTCCTCACTGTTACCTCCACTGTCTCTCACATCGCCATCAGTGCACGCAGGCTCTTGGCAAGCATCCGTAGGACCCAGGTGGAAATCTCTCTGGCTACAGTACTGCAAGATGCTGTCTCTCCTTTCTTCAGAAAGCTCTTGCCAGAGGTGTGAAATAGCCGTGGAGACCACAGGGAGAGGCACCTCCTCAGCGGAAACAATTCCATGCTCTCTCAGTAGGTCTACTGTGTGCTTATAAAAATACAGGTACCTGAAAGGACAAGGAGCATCTGAAGAGCAAGCTATCCAACTGCTGTCAGTCAGTGTGGAGGGACAAGGCATCCGATGACAGAACTGCCATAGTTCTACTGACCATTTGATTTGGTCATGGCCTAGGCCATGGTCAGTGTGGAGTTGCCATTGCAAAGTATGTGATGAATATGACCTTTGCCCTTGCACAAGATGCAGTTTCTCTTGTTGGCTTTGGAAGACCAACAGCTGCAAGGAACCTTTGCAAAGCACTGCACTGTGGGTGGTAACAGACGCTGCACATTACTGGGCTGAGAAACTGAGCCCCTTGGAGTTCTGCTCCTGGAGAGGTGCTGATCCACCCTGAGCTCAGCACAACCGCTGAGGAAACTTCCCTGGGCTGGAAGGACTGCTTGGTATTTGGAAGGTAAGCTAAGGATATAATTAGCATTACCTCAGAATTGTGGAACTGTGATTGATCTTTGCAGATAAGCAACTATTGTGCAAGGCTTGTTGCTAAACAATTGAACTGACACCTCAATAGTCTTCTCTAATAAAGCAGCTATGCTGAACAGTTCTAGTTATTATCTAGAAAGACTGTGATATAATTGCTGCCATCAACAGGGGAGGAGGGAGTAGCAGTGATTCAAAACTACTTCACTGACTTCTCCCTCAGGGACCTCATACAATTACTGAACATTGCCCAAAACCACCAGAAAAGTTCAGCAACTCTGCTATGCCAAGATTTCATCTGCAAAGGGCAGGCTTCAGCCAGAGCCTCAGCAGGGCGGCCTCAGAATAGGAGCTCCAGGCTGCTGCAGGCCATACTCATCACACAGGCAAACCTCACGCTGGCTTTTCATGAAATTTGGCATACCTGCCTTTGTATCCCGAGGCTCTTGCACTGCGAGTCACTTTTTATACTTCTGGCATTGCAGTGCTCTAAAAACACTTGGCTGAGGTCATACCTTGATGTACTAGGTACTATACATGCAGATAGGAAGGCAGGGGCTTGGAAACTCTGATTAGTGTGAATATAGGAACTCAGTTCCTACATCTGAGGGACTGCATTGCCAAGACTGAGTTCTGTGAGTGAACTGAGTTCTGCAGTGAAACTAGCAATTCAACATTAATGCTGCAATTTCAAGCTGAAGATGCAAACACAGGAAGAGCTTGCCTCTTCTGTTAGTACTGTGTGGCACAGTGCGCCAGGAACAATAAGTCTACTTTAGAAAGTAGCACTGAAGGTTATTTTATGTTTATTAAATGATTAGAGCTCCTCAGATGAAAGAACGTGTCCGAAAGAGTAAAAAGGAAGAGCATAAAGAGCAGTCCTTGTTTCTCAGTTTGACAGGGCTCAGAATGTCTCCTTGGAAGACATCCCAATTAAGCACATTTCCTGGCTAACCAAACTGCTGCATGAGAAATTAACCAAAAAGTACTGCATCTTTTTACAACTGTTTGTTTTAGTAAACCAGTATTGAAGATTTTAAAATAACCCCACATGCAAACATGTTTAAACTCCCATTTCCATGCTGTGAAGTTTTTCTGCTGTTGCTGGACACAAAAATATTGTAAGGGAGGCAACAAGCATTGTTAGGTCAGCTATTGCACTCACCAAGAATTCTGAACATCCAGCTCTGAACGAAGGATCTGGAGTTTCTCTAACAGAATGAATCATCACTAGACTGCTTTGCTAAAGAAACTGAGTTTGAACAAACCATGAGTCAACAATTTCCTTCCCAGCTGGAAGGAGACGACCACATTTTGCACATTTGCACATTTGGAATACTGGGCAGTCTCTTCACTGTAGCTCTCTGTAGAAGCTCAGTGCATTTCCGATGCTGCCCAAATAACATGATTAGACTTATCACTGAGAAGCTGTTGTTTACCAAAGACTCCCTACTGTTTCATGCCCATTACCACTGATGGTTTTGTAACAAGAATTAGCTACAGTTCAACTGCAGGCTGCAATAAAACTGCAGGGTAAATGCCAAGAGTCCACGCAGCACTGCAAAGGCTGTGGTCCACCTCATCAGTGAAGAAGGGGAAATACAGGTGTTTATTATGGCCCTATTGTGCAGGCTTTGATGAAGCAGGGATTACTTCCTCCAGAAAATCCTCAGTCAGCACATTTCAAGGTCTTTCAAATGATACCTTACTACAACCACCTCCAAATCTCACAGGAGCAAAAGCAGGCACTGTAGCAGTAGGCTGGTGCCACCTGCTGGCATAGCTGCGGTCTCGTTTTGATGAAAAACCTCAATAGTCCAGGGGAAAATTATTAAAAAACACCATTTCAAAGCAAAAAAAATAATAATAATTAAAAAAAAAAATTGTCTGCGTTTTTACTGCGTTTACACTTATGGCTGTGAAGCTCTGGAGGATACCAGCTATAGCCATGGCTTCTCCCACACTGTGTGTTTTTAAGTCTGGGATGATTACCATCTATGAGCCCTGTAGTACATCCTAGTGCCATTTGAGAGCAGGGGGAAGAATGTGATAAACGCTCAGTGTTAAGACACCAATAACTTTGAAAAAATAGAAAATTTACCATTAAAATCCTAGATTAAAATACATGGACCACTGAGAGGAAAGCAACGGTCTCTGATTTTTAGCAGCTGTGTCAGGCACTTGGCTAATCCTAAAGAGGGTTACAGACCTGCACCTTCTGGCTGTAGCACACTCATAAGCACTTATGTTCCCTTCCTCTCTCTCTCTCTGTGTTTCAGTCATATCGAGGAGTACTTTCTGATGTCTTCCAGACTACTGCTATTCTGCAGACCACTGCAGGTTGAGTACTGCATTATTTTCCCTCATTAATTCCAGTCCTACACTGCTCTGATCTTACAAACAAGTACTCCAAGGTGCTAGGAGCTAAACATCCATCTCTGGAAGGGACAACAGAGTCCCAGATTCTCAGACCAATACCAGGCAGGATAATCATCACTTGCAGGGGGAAATATCTGCCTACATCTACCTATCTGCAGTTCTGCAGCTCCCCTGGAACTGGAACACGTACAGCTACCCACTGGCAGGTTTCATCTGGTGCAGCAATTCCTGTGCTCCTCAAACTCAGCCCCATCGTGAAGATAGAACTTGATACTGATAGCACAAGCATACAGGAGCAAACACCTGGGTAAGCCACGCTGCTCAAATAAACTCCCATTCCATCTGGGTTAAAAACCACTTGCCTGTTAAACCACTACAGGCGTGTTGCAGCTCACTCTACAAGCCACTGGACAGCAGTAAAGCACATCCACACAGGGACTGACACACTTGAAACAATTTTTGTTTCTCTTTCTTGAGAGTTTGAGGGGGAGCTGGGGGCTGATACCATGCTGGGATTCCATTTGTGTGCCAGACACAGCTCCAGCTTCATCACCAGCAGGGTCAAAGTTTCTGGTACAAGGCTTTTGCAAGGCTCCATTTACAGCACTGACTAGACGCAGTGTTAATGCAAATAGGTGAAAAAAAAACTTGAAGACAACGTGGGGTGCACCTACCGTTCAAATTCCACCAGATCTGGGGATGAAATCTCTGGGTACTGGATAAATCCTGGCTTTCCGTCCTCTTCCATTGTTTGGTTTTCACATTCTTGCATCAAATACCAGACAGCAGAATCACTCTCACTCACAGCTTCTGAGGCCGACGATGCAGTGCTGAAAAGAACACACAGAAAAAAAAAAAGCGACATGAACAACTTCTTAACTGGATTAAAAATGTCTTTGTCATGGTCACTCCAGGGTTCAGGGCCATTCTTCCCAGCAAGCTTTTCCCCCATCCTTTTGCTCTGCAGGCAAATAAGAAGTCTGTGGTGAGCTGCATAGGAGGCAAAGGAAATACAAACACTGTTCATGCACTGTGTGAGATTACAGGGGTCCACAAGAAACCTGTTCATCTTTTCATCATGATGAAAGGCCTCTGCTTGGAAGTTCAGTAACAAAGACAAAGAGGCTAAGAGGCACTGGGATGGAAGAAAATGCAAAGTATTATCATCTTCCCTTGATTGGTTTAAGCCCTTACCTGTGATTGCTGAAGTGCCTCTTGACATATTCTTCCCTGACTTCCTCCAGGCTGGACGGGTTCCCATCCTCCAGGCTGAAGGACTCTGTTGTTGGCAGAAAGGCAACTGTCACACTGGTGGGGCCTTTGGCTTCCATCTCATCCTCAGTCCCAATCAAGCAGAATAATCTGACAACTGGTCCTTCAGGAGCCACAACTCTTCATTAGGCAAAAGCGATGTGAGATGCAACACCTCTGCCTCTCCTATATCACTACCACTACTGGGAGCTTCTGATTGTTGAGGAACTCAGATGTCCTCCTTTTAACATTGGTGTGAGAGAACCGATGGTGAAAACAATCAGCAAATCAAAAGTCCCAACAAGAACAAGCACTAGTCAGTACAACATCTCATAATTGTCATGTAATGCACATAAAAACCCTGGACAACCCACCCTGTGATTCAGCAGTGGTATGAATTTTACATATATGCAAGTAAATATGAAGGGAAATTTACTTCAAAACTCTTTTCAGCCACCCCACTGCTTGTGAAGCCTTCAGATTTCTCTTCCAAATGACTCCTCCTACCTATGGTTGCCTTTTATGGGTTACCCAAATATGTGGTTTCAGAGGACTTTTTTTGTTTTAAGCATTATGATCTGTAATTGATACAAAACACTGGAACTGCAAGTTGCACAAACAGCAATGCCTTTTCTAGCACACCATATTCTGGATATGTGAAAGGACATAAAAATATGTCCAAAAAGCTCTACCCATCAGTCCCCAATCCTTCTTGTTGTCACCAGAGAGAGTGAGCAGCACCAGAGAGCAGCAGGCATGCTGGTGAGGGCCTGGAGTGCATGACCACAACCTGCCAAGCTGAAAGCAAAACTGACAAAAACAAACCACAGCATCTCTTACCTGTTCCTATGGGCCTAGATTCTTAACTAAAGGCTTCCATTTACCATACTTTTGTGAGGAAACTCTCAACAGATTCTCTCTCCTTTTCTTCCTCTAACTCAGACCAAAGCCTCCAGCTCTGAAGTTCCAGCTCTGGCTGTGCTTGATGAGGAGTGCAGGGTGTGTAACAGCTCTGACTGATACTGTGCTGGGGCTGGAAGGAGCACACCTGTTCCTCCAGCCTATGCATGCAGCCTGTGCAGGGGTAGGCGGGGAGCCTGCCTGCAGCTGGGGGCAGCAGAAGTTAAGTTGTGTCCTTCCTCTGCCATGGAGGGCTGGGAATGGCTGTGGATCTGAGGGACAGTGCTTACTGGGTTGACAACACTTGTGCTACAAATGAAGCCCCATTAAAGTCTAATGCTTAATGGGAGCAGCCACACATCTACCTGCCTCTACTTAACAAACTGTCTGAGGCAAATACTTGCATACAGTACCTTTCATCTTCAGCAAAGAACTCAAGGTTTGCTCCAGCTCCTGGATATATTTCTTAGCCTTACGCAAAACCTGATACTAAACACAAAAAGAAAACAGAACTGATTGCTCTCTGCTCTGACTGAATTCATGTTTCAACTCAGTTGCTTTCTTCATTTCTTTCCTTCATTTTGACCCTCAGTTATCTCCATGTGTCTGAGAAAATGACTGTGATGTTTCACCATCTACCTGTAGCCTTATGAAGAGGAGAAAGATCTAAGAGCAAAGTTAAATACAGAAGATAAATATTCTGTAATATAAATATATTGTACAATACATGTACATAATGCCTAGTCACACAGCCATTTGCTACTTAAGTCACATCTTTTACCAGCAACTGTTCTTGTTTGGATCATTATCTTCTTGGAGCATGTCCAGAAACACCATGCTATAACATGTCCTCTTGGATGTCTACCAGCTTTAGGTGTAAGACTTTATAATTCACCTCTCCTGAGAATTTTGCTAGAAGCCCTTGCCATGTTCTGCTCCAGCTGCACTGATGTCAGCTGGAATAACAAGCGCTGTAGATCATTCCTTCATTGCAGCATAACTAAGAACATATGGCCAGTACCTTTCAACACACCCATCTAAAAATTGCTCCTAGATTTATAGGATCAGTGGGACCGCCCAGGCAGCTCAGACAGGAGGTCCCTCTGGCAGAGCTTTCACACCAGATACTTTAGCAAGGTACTAAGCACCAGAATTAGGAGTAAACTTATGCAGTTAGGACCTCACCTCCAAAGTCATGTCTTAGGCACATGATACTATCAAAGAGTAGTTCAAAGAATTGGTACATTAAGACAGTCCAGTCAGAGGAGACAAAACAAGTATCTGTTTGGCCTTAGTTCTGAGGTTGTGGGGACTTCAGCTTAACATTTGCATCTCCTTCAGAGTATGGCAAACTGAATTCTTACCTTGAACTTCATGGGGGATAAGGGCCTCAGCCCCAGACAGCAGCACTTTGCATGCTTAGAATCTCAAGGCACTTTACAAATATGATCCTGTAAAGCCACTATCCTCTCTGAAAAAGTGAAAGTGACCAATCTAAATGAGTTGGTGGCAGAGCTGAAAAATCCTGATGGTCATTCCCCTACCTTCAGCAGGATACTATGCAACTTTTTAGTAGTATTTTTGTTTATTTCTTTTTCTTTTTCTTTTTTTAAGAAATAGTTTCTTATTTTAGTAGAGGCCAGGAGGAACAAGGGTTCCCTCCCCATCTTATTCTCTCAGTCTATTGGATACAGAATGTACCTTATATGCTGAATGAATTACTGCCTTCCTTCTAACTTGATCTGTCCCTAAACTCACTCCTCTCAATTTCCTACCAAAACGCTGTGAAATCAAGGTCATTGAATCATAGGATCCCTTGATTTATATCCAAAACACGGCTAAGAAGAAACTACAAAAATTCCGTACGAAAAGCACAGGCAAGCCACATGATAAACCCATGACACAGAGACTACTGAGCAAGTTGCTCATGGTCAGCTGGCAGCTGCAAAGCAGAAGGAATCCAGGAAATCTGCCCAGACTGAAATTATGTACATGCTGGCACCCCTTGGGATCCCAACAGATAAACTGAAACGCATGTCTATGACAGAATGCCCCATCCCTAAAGGCGCCCAAGGGCAGCTTGGATGAGGCCACGGGCAGCCTAACCCGAGGGGTGGCAGCTCTGCTCACAGCAGGGAGATGAAAACAAGCGATCTTTGAGATCCTTTCCTCAAGCCATTCTATGACAGCGACAGATAGGAGAAAGGCAGTCATCGCCCCGCACCTTGGAGGCCGGGCTGTCTGACTGGGATAGCACGGTCTCTTGCAGGCTGCTGAAGAGTCCCGCCAGCACCGCGCGGTGCTGGGCCTGTGCCAGGCGTCTGCGTGCGGCGCGGGGCTCCACCTCCTGCGGCTGCGCCTGGGGAGCGGGCCGTGCTCTTGCACAGAGCTCACCGCAACCACCCGCTGCCTCCATCGGCGGCTGCAACGCAATGGGGGGTCGTGCTGGGTACAGCGGAGGGAATGCACGAGCACTGCGGTGCGTTTTGCAGTGGGAAGTGATGGCTTCTGCCTGAGGAATGCTGTCTGTAGGCTCTGACTAAACCCTGATCTCTTGCTAACCTCAAATTGTGGCACCCACCTCCTGCCCTGTCCCTGTCGGATAACCCATTCCCACAAAGATGCTGGGGCTGATGCCGCCAGACAGCGGCCTCCTTTGCAGCACCATCTTACCCCAATTCACCATGAGGAAGTGCAGATCGTTGCCCAGCGGGGCAGCTCTGAGGACGGGACAGCTTCCCTCCCCTCACACTGCCCTGCCCTTCCCTGCAGCTCACTGAGGGGAAGTTCCCCGAAATTGGTCCAATGCCCCCCGTTACCAATTGCACGTATCACCTATGGATAAGACCAACTCCCTCTCCTGCCGTTCCTTCAGCAGCCAGGAGGGGCGAGGCGGCAGCGAAGCAGACAGCGGGATCCCACAGACGACGACGGCCGCTCCCGAACACCACGCTCCCCGCGCAACCCGCCCTGCCCCACCCATGACCGCCGAGCCACTGCCTGTCCGCGCCCAGCAACACGAGCCGCACGTGGCAGCCAGCCAATGGGGACGCAGCTTGCGCCCGGCGGCGGCCAATGAGAGACAGACAAAAACGCGGGCTGCGGCCGCAGGAGGGCAAGGAAGCAGGGGAGGGGGAGTGGAACGCACGGGGGAGGGCGGTGCGCATGGGCGAGCGGCGGGGACTACAGCTCCCATCGTGCCTTGCGATGGGCGTGCACGGCAGGGGACGCCGGGGGCTGTAGTCTTGGCGGCGCCGCGCCGCCTCGCTCGTGAAGCCGTGGGCGGGCAGAGGCGGCAGCGCCGCTGGGCCCCATGGCGGCGGCGACGGAGCGGACGGACGAGCTGGTGCGCGAGTATCTGCTGTTCCGCGGCTTCACCGCCGCTCTGAAGCAGCTGGACGCGGAGATCAAGGCGGACCGGGAGAAGGGCTTCCGGGTGAGCGGGAGCCGCGGCCCCTTCCCTGTGGGGCGGTGGGCAGGCCGCGGGGCGGCGGGGCTGAGAGCCTGTCTGGGGGCAGCTCCCCTGAGGCGCCGCAGCCGAGCCGAGCTGGGCCCCGCGTCCCCTGTGAGGGCGGGGCTGGAGCCGGGGCCGCGATGAACCGCTGCGTGGTCCTCTGAGGGCGGCGGGCTGCCGTTAGGAATTTTCGTGCCCGTCTCGCTGATAGATGGCGTTCGGGGTAACGGCGCTAAGAAGCGGCGGCGCGTCTTCCTCTTGCTGTGCTGCCGTCTTGTCGGCTAAGCACGGCTCTTCCCTTTCGTCCAAAAATAACGCTGTTTTCCGAGCGAGCCCTCGCTTGACAGCAGCCGCCTCCTGCGCTCTCAGGTGGATAAGATCGTGGAGCAGCTGCAGCAGTTCGTGCAGAGCTACGACCTGGCTGCGCTGCGGGACTACTGGAGCTACCTGGATCGCCGTCTCTTCAGCCGGCTGGAAGACGTGTACCGACCGACGGTGAACAAGCTGAAAACCAGCCTGTATCGATACTACCTCGTCCACACCGTGCAGGTGGGGCAGGTGGGAGTGGCTGAGTAGATAGCAGTGCTGCATAGAAGGGTTTCATTGCAGCTGAAGGGATGAAGAAGCAGGATTGTTGTCTGTGTTCCTGCTGGCAGGAATCAGAAAGTCCTTATGTGAACTACAGCTCCTGAGGAATCAGAGTGGGAGGGTCTCAAAGAATGGTAGGGTTGGAGTTTAGTTGATAAAAGAGGGAGAAATGAGCTTCAAGTTTGGACAAGGTAACATGGGAGAGAAAGTGAAACTGTTTTTTTCCCCCTTCTGAATAGAAGAGAAAATAGTAAGCTCAAGTTGGAGCAGAAATATCTCAATGATGCTTTTAAAAAAAAAAAAAAAAAAAAAAAAAAACCGTATTACATGGGGAGAGCACTGGCAAGCAGGGTAGACAAGCACCTGTCAAGAGTGTTCAATTTCTTAAAACTTATGGGTAATGTTTCCCCCTTGATTGAAAACTTGAAATTATGAATGCTGGGGGAGGAAGCAAAATCTAATGCATATTTCTGGAAATGTGGTTTTGTTCTCTTATCCTGGACTTAACTTGGAGTGTGACTATAACAAATATAATGCATCAGATGAATTTCTTCAGGGTGCTTCTGTGGTGGAACTGTTCAATTTGAAGTATACTTTAGTAATGTATGAACTTGCATCTTATATAAGTATGCAGAGTGCACTGGTTTAGCTGGAAATCGTGTAAAGAATTGGCTTGATTCATTTCCCCAGCCTTTAAACAAGACTGCAGTGAGTAGAAAAAAGGTTGGATTAAGCATATTTGGGAGCTTCTTCTAGCGTATCTAGCGTATTCTTTTGTTCCCAGATGAACCTGAAATCTAACCACTTGCTCTCTTGGGTAGTGAAAGTAGTTTCTACTGCATTCATCACTCAAACAATATTCTAAGTACCTGCAGGTTGGTTTGGCTGGAAGTGTTGAGAGCTGTTCCTGTTGTATTTCAGACCGGCCGCAATGACAAAGCGCAGGAGTTCTTCCTCAAGCAGGCCTCTGAGCTGCAGAACCAGGCAGAGTGGAAGGATTGGTTTGTCCTGCCTTTCCTCCCTGCCCCGGACTCCAACCCCACCTTCGCCACCTATTTTTCACGCCAATGGGCAGATACGTTTATTGTGTCTCTGCACAACTTTCTGAGTGTCTTATTTCAGTGCATGCATATCCTTTTTTTGGTAACTAATGGTTAAATCTCTCTTACTCTAGTGTTACGCTTACTGTTCTTAGTGCCAAGAGTACAATATTACAGAACCTGTTGCTTTCAGGTAATTTCAGGGCCACGCCTTAATAGGAAGCTGGTGTTTTCCAGAGGATGTTAGAATAGTTATTATTCAATTATCTAATGACATGTTATGCTCCCTGGGCACAAACGATTGTGGTTGCTGCTAACACTGAACTCAAACCTTTGCTTCTGACTAGAACAGCAGTCAGAAATCTTGTTACGTGGCATAGTGCAAAACAGGCGTGCAACCTTGGGTCCAGAGCTGTCTCCTCTTAGACCATTGTCTGGGTGTATCCATTCACAGCGGTGTGTAGTGATAGCCCAATATTGTTACTACTCTTCTGGCCTCAGATATTTCTCTCTGATGGTATGGACTGAGCACTTTTGCTGTCTTTAAGGCAGGTGGTGATGAGGGTTAGCTGTGAAGTTTGTTAGAGTCAAGGCAAGTTGTTGCCTTGAGTTTTTCTTTAACGCTTCTCACCGGTGCCAGTCATTCTGAACTTTGAAGCTGAATGTCACAGAAGCAGCCTCATACAAGAAGAAAATGAATCCCTGCGGCATAAGGTCAGAATTGAAGTCACTCTTTATTTGCTGGCTGTTTAAGGCTGTGTGTTTTGTGATGTTGGGTTTGTGTGTCCAAACAAGTTGTACCCCTTCAATTTAGAGCAGTTATTCCGAGGCAGATTCTTATATAAATCCTTTCTTTTGGTTAATCTTCCAACTGCCTCCAGCAAGCTTAGGGCAGTGGTGGTATGGTAACTGATATGTCTGTGTAGGACATCACTGTGCCTCTGCTGGAGGTGACTCTGTGAGAGGTGACTCTCTCTGTGCTATCTGCTGGGTGCAGACACTGTGCAAATGCCTTTTCTGCTACGCTGGCATTTCTGACAAGCTGAAAGTAGTGGGAGGTAAAGTGCTTGTGTGACGGACTTTATGCTGAAACTTATGGAGAGTATTCAGGGTCACCTCCAAAATTTAGCTGACAGCACAGTAAAAAGTGGCAGTACCCTGCAGTGAAGAGGCAGAAGCTGTTCCTGCTGAAATAGCCACTTTACCATGGTCAAAGTGGACATAAAATAATCTAGTTGAACTAATGCAAATGTGAATATCTGTTTCCCAATTCTAGATCTTACAGGAAACTGCAAGAAACACTGACTTGCTCCAGCAAGATGTCCCCCAGCTCTATCTTATTTTGATATTACCTTTCCTAGATGCTTATAGAGAAGATGTAAAAGTATAATTATTGGAGAGATTTGAGAAATGTACGGAGTGACCTGAGCAGGGTGTGGAGCTGGATTTCAAGGTAGCCTGATGACACTGGCTACAGTGCACCCAGGCATCTTGCCAAGCCCTGGGCTGTGGGAAGGAGATTACCTTCTAGGCTTGGTGCCTGCACATGATTGCCACCAGTCATGTGGAGGGCTTTGGCTTTGAGCTGCCTGTGTGCAGTGGCAGGCTGATCCGGGCTGCCCAGGCCAGCTCATTTCCCAGCACAGTTAATGCCGTTACAGCAACAGCCCAAGGAGAGGAGTGGAGGATTTTAAGCAGGCTTCAGTTTCATATCTGTAAAGCACTGTTGTTTTGACTACTTGGACTGATGTGATCTTCAGCTGGTCACAGCAACTTTCTTCCCTCCTTGACCGTCTAAGACCCTTGAAATTAGAAGAATGAACAACTTCAGCCTGTAGGAAAGTGGTGCACTCTGGTGTAATTTCTGCTTACTTATTTGGTTCTTTCTTCTCTTGTAGCTATTTGCTTTGCAGGCTGAATCCTCCCGCATGAAGAAAGAGGAACTGGAAGTGGAAGAAGCAGTTGTGCATCACAAGCTGCCTGCATATGTGGCCAACATGGATCGGCTCGGGGACTCTGAGCTGTGAGTGCCTGCAGGGGAGGATGGGCCCTGCTGCTTTTATGTGGCTCAAGGAAACTCTAGGAGTGCCATTTCCTTGTTCGTTGGAGAAAATTTCTGCTATGATGTCTATTTCCCACTCTTTGAGAGAGATTCTTGCTGGTTATTGGGAACTGAAGCACACAAAGAAGTGACTCTGCTTTGGTCTCAGCATTATACCAGGGCATTCTGGGCAGCCAGGACGCTGGTAGCAGTGCAATACCCTGAAGCACTGCTCAGGTATTTTCTTTAGTGGCAGTGAGTGCTTTGTGTTGTTCTTAAATGCTGTTCCTGCATCACACAGAGGGGTCATTGTTCCACAGAGACAGGCTTTTTTGCTCAGTTATATATGAGATTCTTCATAAATCTGCAGTTTAATCTGTTGATCAAATTGTGCTGCTCTCAGTAACAAAAAAGTTCTAATAGAGGTCACACTTAAAATCTTACTTTTAGTGTAGAATTTCTGATTGAAAAGGTTCGTCTGCAGAACTGTCTTGATAACTGCTCTGCGCAGGACAAGTCACAGAGTTTAATTTGAGATCTCTTTGGCCTAGCTACAAAAAGCCCTGATGTTCACCTGCACCTGTGGGAGAGAGTGATGCAAGGGATGAGCTAATAGAACTGCTATATTTTTAACCATCTCTATTAGAAAAACTTACTTTAAAAGTGGTCTTTCTTGTGTGGACAACTCTTGTGTTAACATGG